TGATTCGGTTACTGACGACGAGATTCTTATGCCCGGCTATAGCTGTGTGAGGCGGGATCGCCAAGGAAAGGTTGGTGGAGGAGTGGCAATTTATTGCCGCGATTCTATCAATTTTACTATTCGCGAAGACCTAAATAATGCAAATGAAGCCGTGTGGATTCAAGTCAACCGAAAAAATTGTACACCTCTTGTTATTGGTTGTATCTATAGACCACCAGATCAACCGATCGACAACTTTACTGATAACTTCGGTAAATCATTGTCCAAGATCGACCCTGCGTTTGATAAAGTTGCGCTTGGTGATTTTAATATAGATTTTTCGATTAGAAGGAGAAATGCAAATTTGGCTCATAAACGATTGCTCAAGGGAATTGCTGAGCTACACGATCTCAAGCAAGTGATTGAATCTTCGACACGTGTCACGGAACACTCCGAATCTCTCATCGACTTATGCTTTACCAACGCTCAGCAAAAAATTACGGAGTCCGCTGTTTTAGATCCTGGTTTGAGCGATCATTCTTTGATTTACTGTGTCATGAAGAGCGGTCGTCACCGAGCTCCACCAAAAATGATCCAGTTTCGCTCGTATAAAAATTACGACAAAGATTCCTTTGTATCTGATCTCCGCCAAGTACCTTGGCATGTGGCTTTAAATAACCATGAAGATATTGATGACTGTATTGACACCTGGAACAAATTATTCTCAGAGGTTGCCGCAGTACATGCTCCAATAAAAACAAGCCGGGTTAGAGGCTTTTCTATTCCTTGGATAAACTCTAGCATTATAGCTCTAATGAATAAGCGAGATCACCATCTGAAAAAAGCCAAGGGGAATAAAAATAACACTCATTGGCGCCTGTACCGTGAATTGAGGAACAAGGTAACCCACAGTATCAAGAAAGCCAAATCTGATTATTACACTAACCTAATAATTAACGGCAGTAAATCAAGCTCTAAAGACTTCTGGAAAGCTTTAAAACAAACTCTACCTTCGTCTAAAACTTCCTCCAGGATTACCAGTTTGTTAGCTGATGGTGTCCTTCTCACCTCAGCTCAATCTATTGCCTCGACTCTTAATTCATATTTCGTGAACGTGGGTAAATCCCTTGCCGAAAAAATCGTTTCCGAACCGTACATAGCTAAAGCTACGGCCTGCCACTCGACTTTTACGTTTCAACCGATTAGTGAAGATTTTGTCTCAAGATCCATCAGTTCATTGAAAACCAATAAGGCCGTTGGTCTCGACAAAATTAGCGCGCGTCTTTTAAAAGATGCTGTGGACGTTATCACTCCTTCTCTTACGGCCTTATTCAATTTATCCCTTCAAACAAGAACATTTCCTTCGATATGGAAAACAGCAAAGGTTATACCCCTGTTTAAAAAGGGCGATAAATTGAATGCTTCTAATTACAGGCCAATTTCCATTCTCCCGACTGTAAGCAAGATTTTAGAGAAGGCGGTACATACTCAGTTTTATGCATATCTTACTGAGAATAATTTAATTTCACCCAACCAGTTTGGATTTAGATTGAAGTCATCTACTATTACTGCCACCATTCAGCTTTCTGATCAGATCCTTCACTCCATGGATAATGGTTGCCTGACCGGTGCGGTTTTTTTAGACCTCGCCAAAGCGTTTGACACTGTCAATCACTCAATACTGCTCCAGAAGCTCTCAACTTATGGTGTTGATGATGCTGGCAAAGCCTGGTTTACTTCATTCTTAACAAACAGAACACAAATGACTAGCTGTGATTATGCTTGCTCCAAAGCTGCCGCTGTATCGACTGGCGTTGCTCAAGGCTCTATATTGGGCCCACTTTTATTTATAATTTACATGAATGATCTACCTGATGTTTTGCAATCCTGTCAGGTTACTTTATATGCAGATGACACTGTTTTATACCTCGCTTCCAAATCTACTGTAGACTTACAAAGTAAGATTAACGATGACTTAAAACGTATATGTAGGTGGCTTCGGGCAAACCAACTGACTCTGAATGTTCAAAAATCCAAATTTTTGCTTATCGGTAGTAGTTCCCGCTTGAACAAAGTTGAGTCCATACTTATTTCGGCTGATGATACCCCTCTCGATAACGTAGATTCTTTTACTTACCTAGGCATTGTGATTAATAACCACTTCTCCTGGACTGACCACATTGATTATATTCGTAGTAAGGTCAGTAGAAAGTTAGGTCTTTTAAGGCGTATTAAATCTTGCCTCCCCCTCAACGCTAGAATTATGTTTTTCAATAGTTTCATTTTACCTATTTTTGACTATGGGGATATCATCTGGGGAGATCGCGGAAATGCGTCCTTAATGTCTGAGCTGCAAGTGTTGCAGAATAAGGCCGCTCGCCTCATTTTAGACTTACCTGTTTATTTTTCCGCAACTGAGGCCCTAAAGAGACTTGGCTGGAAACCATTACTGCGTCGTAGAAAAGAACACCATGCCATCTTTATGTATAAATTAATTAACAACCATTCATGTAATACTATTCCTGTCACATTTAATCGGGACTTTCATGGTTACAATACAAGATCGAGAAATGACGTTCGAAAATCCAGTGCCACAAGAAGATGGGGTCATTGGTCGTCAGTTAACTTTAGCGCAGATGTATGGAATGGTTTAGACATCTCACTAAGAAATGCAAACTCACTGCCTGCCTTCAAACGTGGCCTGTCTAAATTTAATTTTGAATTTTAATTTACCTTACTAGTATTACTCTTAGTTAATACTTTGTGATTAGTATTTTTAATTAGTTCTTAGATTTAGTTTTAGTTATTTGTTTTTTATTTGTAATTTATCTTTGTATTAGTATTTAATTTAAGAGGACCCTCCTGTAAACCACTTTTGTGACGCTGGCATCCTCATTAAAGATTATATATATATGGTAAACTATTTATTGAGATCTTATTAAATAGACATACTCCATAATTAGAGATAGATAGAGAGGAAAACAAATAAAAAGTTGGCTAAAGTGACCTTTCCCGAGTGAAACCTGTTTTTGAGCAACGGCCTTGTAATCATCGGAAAGGTTAAATTTCAGATGACTCGTGCAGTTATCAAACTTCTCCTCTCAATTTCCTACCGGAATTTTGCCCAATAATTAACAATTGCAATTAAATTCTGACACCCAGATGATATAGTGAGAGGGGGAAGGGAGACGGGGCGTCTTAAAATGTCACTAATACACAATATTTATGAAAGGTCGACATGGCAATCTGGCGAGTACTCTCTATTTGAAACAGTATGACTTCCCCCTCCCTTTGAAAAAATCCAGGTCACGCCCCTGTAGAAGAAAAGGAAATTGCCGAGTAATCCTAGAAGGAGTCGGCTAGATGAGTTCAACGATTATCTCAGCAAAACAAAAACAGAATGGCTATTCCATAACGTTTTATCTGCTTTAATAAAAAAAGAATGAATGGCAAAGAAACCATTCCATGATGTTTGTTTAGGAAATATCTTGTTATTTCCCTGATTTAATAACAAAAAAACAAGCAAACAAACAAAAACGGTAACGGAGGTCTTCCAAGATTTCTTACATCAGTTTGTACCATAACAGAGGTATTCCAAGATTTTTAAAATCAATTTCTACCTTGGGCATCATTCCATGTGATTTTGTGAGTTTTCTTACTGTACAGAATTGCCGGCACAGGGTGAAATTTCTCCCAGTCACAGTAACATCCCCCGATCATAAACCACCCAACATCAATACGGCATCCTGCGTACTTAGTTGTAATTTCAAAGTTTCGTGCTCCGTGATGGCCATTGATGCGAAAGGGTTTTAAAGTTGTCGCATTCTTAAGATCTGTCCATGGTGATTGAAGAAGATTATTTTGTGTAAACCAGTCCACGTTAGCTGTTCCTCTGGCATTGAACTTCATAGACATAACTTCTGCTCCATTCGTGTAAAGCACTACACGGACCTAAAGTCATACGAGAAAATGATCTGTTGTCTACATGTCAAATACATGAGTATGGGGTAAGATGAGAATCGTTACATCGGGGAATTTAAAGAATTGTTGATCAACTTTTTATTGTCTCTTTGCAAACCTATTCTGAAGGATTCCTACAGTTTATCAATCAATATCAATCAATCAGTACTACATAACATGAGTATATGTAAAATCGAGAAGGCAGATTTTTGAGCTAGAAGTTATTCTATCGGCTTGTAGTCTAGTATCACTCTGTCTTGGGCACGGCAACTTTTGTGTTTCAATTGTCCTCGAAGCATTAAAAGTTCTCTAACACCATGAGTACTTTTTAACATAATTTCTGATTAAGCACTTTTAATTTGTTTCAGCTCAGAATTTTCTTTGGATATATTATATCATTGTGGTTTGCATATTTTGTCGTGGTTTTACCTTGCGACCAGTCACAGTTTCTTTGAGAATTAAAGATATGGAGTGCGAGAACTACACACAATTCAAAACATAACTCCTTTTCTAAGAACTGTTCTCCTGCAAGGATAAAAGATGAGCACTATTACCTGGCACTGAGTACCTATTCCCAAGATGATACACTCTTAAGGTTTGGGAAGTAAGGTAAACGAAAGAACGTAACTAATAGAAATCTCATTGCATGGACAGTGATATCTCTCTTTGAAACAAATTGTTTGGTGTATGTTATTTTATATTCTTTATATTCCATTCTCTTCTATTCCTTAATTCCTTTTAAAAAAGGCACGAGCAGTTCAGAAAAGTGCCTGCTTGATTTACCTTTAGAAACATGATGAACATCATTTGGAAAAGTGTGACAGACAATTGAAGACAAGTTTCTAAGGCTAATAAAAAAAAATCCAAAAAGAAGCAAGAAAAGTCTAACTGATTTATTTTTGTAGGCTATTTCTAAGGAAATACATTAACGTTGCCCAAGAAACTTGTGCATGGATTTAGGTGCATTTAGCCTAACCCTCTGTGATGTAGATATTTTCCGGACTTACCTCTTGAGGGTTAAAAGTTTGCCAACTTTAAACGATACGGTTTTTGTAGTTTCCTTAGTAGGTTGAAGTGGTATCTAAGACAGCAATAACATTTTCTGATAATGTATCGGATAAACTCCATAACGCGTCAGCAGTCGGAGAGGAAGAATATCCTCCAATGTATTTGAATACCATCGTCCAACCTTAAAATAAAAATAAATGACAGAAATAGTCCAGGTTAGTGAAAATTGCTTGTTCCCTTAGAAAACTCTAGAAATTGTTTTTTTGAATTGACTGCATGATTATAGACCTAAGTCCACGGAGCTCCCTAGCTAAGTAAATCAGGCACCTCTGAATCAATTGGAAAAAGGGGGTAAGTTTCTAAAGAAACTGTGGTGCTGAGTCGGTGGGAGAGTATAACAGGATAATTTAGTATTATCAACAGGATTGAAAACGTAAATTGGCTACCGTAAAAGAGTTTATGGGATGACGTTTCGAGCGTTAGCCTTTTGTCAGAGAGATATTGATGACCCTTACTCGAGAGTCTCAATGTGTTGATGGCTTTTACGACTAACGATTGAGCTTTGGCCTATTTACGGTTAACGGCTGATATCTTTCCATTGTGGTCACCAGAAAACACTTTGGGGTTGATTTTTTTTACAACAAACGTTTTAAATTTGTCGATTTTGTACGCCTAACGGCTGAATCTTTTGGCCGTTTTACGCCTAACGGTTAAGCCCATTGAGATCCTTGTAATAAAATATGCGCTTATTGTTCATCGTGGTGTAAGATAGGAGATGAACCTTGTTCGTTTGTCTCACGATAGAGTCACTTTTGATGTAGACCGCGACGTTTCGACTGCAATACTGCTAGTCTTCATCAGGCGATGAGGTCGATTGTTTACGTGTTTACATGGAAGAATTTGAGGAACAGGCGATAACAAATGCGACTTGCAAACCTAAGATCTGGAAACGATATGTAGATGACACCTTCACAGTCTTAGACCGGGACCATGTCGATGGCTTTTTTACAACATCTAAACAGTCAACAGCCTACTATTCGTTTTACCATGGAAATCAAGAAAGATAACACCATTCCTTTTCTCGACACAACAGTTACAAGGGAAACAGACGGTCTTCTCACTACCACTTTCTACAGAAAGCCCACCAACACTGACCAGTACCTAACCTATGATGTACATCACCCTCAGTCAGTAAAGCGTGGTTTTGTTAAGTGTCTATGGGACCGAGCCAAACACCTCACAACGAAACCGTCAGGTATCTCTGAGGAAAAGAAGTACTTGTCATCAGTACTTGTTTCTAATGATTATCCTTCTTCATTTGTACGAAAACTCGCAAAGACAACAAGCGTAACAGCCAACAAAGAACCCGCGCAAGAATTTAAATCTACCGCCGTTCTCCCTTACATAAAGGGTGTATCAGAGGTTCTTCGCCACTGCCTACAACAACAAGGCATACGAACCGTATTGCAGTCGAAACGCCGCGATCTACATGAAAAGTGACTCTATCGTGGAACAAACGAAAAAAGTTCATCTCTTATCGAGATCCTTTTATTTAGTTTGACTTCCTCACAACAAGTCGTAACATAATAACTCTTGTTCTCTAAATCGCAATGTGTAGGTTTGAGCAAATATATGCTAAAATACATATATATATGCTGTTAAGTTAATGATTCCCCAAGCCGCAAAACGGATTGGCCATCGAAAACCTAAGATAATTAGGATATAAACAAATACTTCCTAACAAGTGAGAAGGAGGTTTTTCGTTATACACAACTAACATTTAAAAATGCAGTCAATGACTTTAGAGAATTTCGGAAATTTTCTTAAGCAAAAAAGCAAGAATACCAAGAAGCATAAAAAGGCAGGAATGTTTGCATTACTTGATGAATAGGCTCTAGTCACAATTCTCTCCCCCGAATCCTTGTGGACAGACACAACGGTATCCTTTTCAAGTAAACCCAGATTGACAAGTAGAATTTTTCTGACATGGGCTGCCTCCACAAGGATCCTGTGATGAAAAAAAAAAGGACACAGTACCTTTCCTTTTTTTGTATGCTAAGAGCACGTGTGCTTCTTGAGGAATTACTATCATCATCATTCTTATTATCATCATTGTAATTTTGAAAAGAGGTCATCAGAGTCACTCTTTCGAAAAAGCATTAAGCTTCAAAAAGATTTCACCTGGTCTCCAACATTTAGGAAATTAATTTCGCCATGAACGAGGTCTGTTGTATGCCGCACCGCGTCCTACTGATTTAAAATTGCCTAATTAAAGAGTTCAGGTAATCTGCCAGAACATAGCTACCTTTTCTTTCTGTTTATATTTCTCTGGTCAACCAGTCAGTGGTGTCAAGTGAAGTTTCAACGAAAAAAAAAACATCTGGTTGTGTTTAGGTTGTAAGGCTTACCTCAATTCCTCGGTAGCTGAAGCCATTTCTGGTTATGAAATTCACGCTGGTGACTTGTAAATGAGTGCTGACACGCAGTTACGGTACCCATAACAAATCAGTTCACAGCCTACTTCACTTTCAACTGGCACAGATTTGATTATATGATTAAGTAAATACTTGTCTTTGATGACTGGGTTGAATAGAATGGCTCTGCACTCATCTGAATTTGCTGTCACAAGTTAAAAGAAGAACATTATCCGTAACTGATCAACATTATTGACGTTCTGTCCCCCTTAAATCAATGCGAGTTCCTTACATCTATTGCAAGTACTAGCATTTGGAAAACTTATAGTGATGCATTTGGAGACGAATAGTGATACGAACTCTTGCTTTCTTTGAGTTTGTCGGGGTCGTTGAACTTGTTACAGGACAATAACGCACACCACTTTTTTCCTTCGGCGGCAAAGTTCACAGAAACGCAGAGAGGATGATCAAGACATTTAATATTCGAAGTCATGATATGGTGTGATTGTGCCAATTCAGGGTACATTTAGATAACGGAACTTGTACACTGAAAGCAGATTCTGTTTTGAATTCTGCTTATACTCGGAATCCAAATCATTACGAGTTTCTGTGGGTTGAAGATAATTACTATAATTTAGAATATTCTTAACTGTAACTATTTGGGGAAGAAACGTATTGATTCCTGCAAACTAGAAACTTTGAATGGGGGTTTTTTGATAGATTCCTTCCTTTTACCCGCGAGACGGATGAAAGTGGTCTTGTTTTTATCAATAACAAAAGTTCTTGCCATTATTTCTGTCTTTGCCTTTAAGGTTACTCCGCACCTTAGCCAGTGCCTTTAGAGAAAAAAAAAACATTTACACGCGATGATTCGCTTGAAACTAAAATATAGTTAATAATACGATAAAATTGTAAGCTATACGACTTTGCTTCCGTTAAGGCAGATGAAGCCGCTCAACGCAAAAGTAAGCGAGTACCATTCCAGAGAATTTATCACTGATTAATTCGCTGGAATGGCGCTCAGATATTAAATCGAGACCAAATGTTGCGGAATATTTTTCGTTTATTTTATGGAAATCCATTTTTCATTATACTTTGAACTTCCTCCACAGAATATTTAGTCTTTTAAGGATGCTAAAAAATTGCCTCTTGATTGCAATTGAGGCAGATATGATGTTTAGACAAGAGAAGTCATACGCTGTGTCGAAAAAGGCGTTTGTTTTCTCTTGATGAAAAAAACTATGTCAAAGTTTATAAAAGTTTATGATGCCCTAAATATTAGATTCCGTGTGAGATTAATCCAAAAAGATGAATGGAGGGTTAACTTGTTATGAAAAAGATGTTCTTCTGTTTCGTTGGTGGTATATATCATTATAAGATAACAACAGGAAAATGGTAATTTTTCTTTTTTCTTTAATTAATTAATTTAATTGTTTTTTCGCGTATGTAAAATTGAAATAAAATTATCGGTTTAATTTAAATAGCCGCAAACAGCGGTAAATACTAACGTGCTATTTCCATCATGAAATTGAAAAGCCGCCATCTGTAGCTTGCAGCAGACACTGAAAACACAATAACGATCACACTGTTGCTTTATTTTCTGTCAATCGCGCCTTTTTTTTTACAGTAGTATTGAAAGAATCGATACCTCAGTTTTCATTTTGTCAAAGAACATACTTGAATAACCAACCTTGTAACCAGGCAATCTTGGGTACATTGAACACAGATCCAGTAACAGATCCAAGTGAAAGATATGGCATAAAGACATACAGACATGAAGTTGTACAAACTGAATTTTTCCCAGCTGTACTAAGCATGATATTAGCTCCAATTAACTTCCTGTTTACTATTCAACCAATAGCTGTCAAGAGTTCTGTCTATTTGCCATTTACTGTACAATTTCGTTGAACAAGATTTCCATACAAGGTATTATAGAGGCGGCAAGGATGAAATGCCGTCAATTGTTAAGGTTATTTCTCTTGCTAACTTCATACGTACCGTTATCGAACTAATACAAAGTTGTTTGAAATTCCCATCTTATATAAAAACTAACACGACGACTATAACACTGTGTAAATGAACAAATTGACAAGAACATTAACATATCTGCGTTACAAAGCAAAGCAGATATTTTTTTTCTCCTTCACGTTCTGAATGGCAATGTGTGTTTACTAGTGAGTGTTTCGATATGTCTCAAGTTATGTGTTAAGTTAAGCTGTAAAAAAGCTGTAAAGGATAAGCGTCGTTGGCAGCAACGAGCCAGTTCTTCTCGAAAACCATTAAGGTCAATAGTAAAGCACGTCAATATGATTTGTAGGATCTTGCAGTCATTTTGAATATAGCGTTAAAGCAGAAGTTTTCCCTCTCAACATTTCATTCAGATTATTCATTGCCTGGCATCCTTGGTCTTCAACGTACATACACAACCATAACCTCAGCGCTTCCGACATCATCTTGAGAAAAGATTATATGAAAAAAAAGTTCACCGATAAATAATATATAGTAAACTTTTTTATTGAGATCTCATTAAATAAACGATTGCCGTGTTACATAATCCAGATTTATAGGTGGATTGAGAAGAAGGCAAATAAAAAGTGCAGAATTGATCTCTCCTGACTGAAACCGGTTTTTGAGCACCGGCCTTGTAATCAGCGGAAATGTTAAATTTCAGATGACTCGCGCAGTAATTAAATTTCTTTCCTCCTAATTTCCATTCTAGATTTTGCCCCTGTAATTAACAATTGCAATTAAATTCTGACACCCAGATTAAATATAGAGAGGGGGTAGGGGAACGGGGTATCTCAAAATGTCACTATTACAGCACATTTATCAAAGGTTGACATGGCAATCTAGTGAGTACTCTCTATTTGAGACAGTGTGACCCCCCCCCATCCCCGCTTCAAAAATCCTGGTCACGCCCCTGAAGAAGAAAAGGAAATTACCGAGTTATCCAAGAAGGAGTCGACTAGAACAGTTACGATTATCTCAGCAAAAAAAAACAGAATGGTTATAACATACCGTTATATCTACTTTAATTAAAAAAATAAAGAATAAATGAACGGCAACGATACCATTCCATAAGGTCTGTTTAGGAAATATCTTGTTATTTCCCTGATTTGATAACAACAAAAAAAACAAACAAAAACAGTAACAGAAGTATTCCAAGATTTCTTTATACAATTTCTACCTTGAGCATTATTCCATTTGATGTTGTGAGTTTTCTTGCTGTATAGAATTGCCAGCACAGGGTGAAATCTCTCCCAGGCACAGACAGATCCTCCGATTATAAACCACCCAACATCATTAGGGCATCCTGCGTACTTAGCTGTAATTTCAAAGTTTCGTGTACCCAGATGGCCATTGATGCGAAAGGGTTTTAAAGTTGTCGCATTCTTAAGATCTGTCCATGGTGATTGAAGTAGATTATTTTGTGTAAACCAGTCCACGTTAGTAGTTCCTCTGGCATTGAACTTCATAGACATAACTTCTGCTCCATTCGTGTAAAGCACTACACGAACCTAAAGTCATACAAGAAAATGATCTGTTGTCTACATGTCAAATACATCAGTATGGGGTAAGATGAGAATCGTTACATCGGGGAATTTAAAGAATTGTTGATCAACTTTTTATTGTCTCTTTGCAAACCTATTCTGAAGGATTCCGACAGTTTATCAATCAATAGCTATCAATCAATCAATACCACATAACATGACTATATGTAAACTCGAGAAGGCAAAGTTTTGAGCAAGAAGTTGTTTTATCGGCTCGGTTCTAGTATCACTCTGTCTTTGGCACGGCAACCCTTGTTTTTTCAGTCATCCTCGAAGCATTAAAAGCTAACACCCTGAGTACTTTTCAACGTAATATCTGAATGAGCATTTTTGTTTCAGCTCAGAAATCCCACGACCATTCATCCTAAAGGTTTGGGAAGTAAGGTAAACAAAAGAACGTAACAAATAGAGATCTCATTGCATGGCCAGTGATATCACTCTTTGAAACAAATTGTTTTAGTTTATGTTCTTTTATATTATTTATATTCCATTCTTTTCTATTCCTAATTCTTCTCAAAAGAGGCAAGCAGTTCAGAAAAGTGTCCGCTTGGTTTGTCTTTAGGAACATGATGAAAAGCATCTGGAAAAGTGTTTCGTGACAGACAATTTGAAGACAAGTCTTCCATAAGATGGAAAGCTCGATCAGGCAAATGGAAAAAAAAATCCAAAAAAGTCTAACTGATTTATTTTTACAGGCCATTTCTATGTAAGCTAAGGTGCATTTAGCCTAACCCTCTGTGGTGTAGATATTTTCCGGACGTACCTCTCGAGGGTTAAAAGTTTGCCAACTTTGAACGATACGGTTTTTGTAGTTTCCCTGGTAGGTTGAAGTGGTATCTAAGGCAGCGATAATATTTTCTGATAATGTGTCGGATGAACTCCATAATGTGTCACCAGTCGGAGAGGAAGAATCTCCTCCAATGTATTTGAATATCATCGTCCAACCTCAAAATAGAAAAAAGATTGTCAAAAATAGTCCAGGTTCGTGAAAAATGCTTGTTCCTTTGGAAAACTCTAGATATGGTTTTACGAATTGACTGAATGGACATGACCTTCCAAGGACCTTCCTAGCCAAGTGAGTTAGCCACCTCTAAATCAACTACTTATTCGGAAAAAGGGGGTAAGTTTCTGCGTCGGTGGGAGAGTATAACAAGGTAATCTAGTGTTATCAACTGAGTTGAAAACGTAAATTGGCCACCGTGAAGAGTTAAAATTTGTCAATTTAATATGCATAACGGTTGAATTTTTTGGCCGTTTTACGCCTAACGGTTAACCCATCGACATCCTCTTATTTAGTTTGACGTACCACCTCCATCACTTGTCTGATCGCAGTATACTGGGAACGAGTCTGATCTATGATTAGAAATTCTGTAGACTCCTGTTTCCTTTGGGGCTTGAGAACAGTTCTGAGTCAGAATGACTGGAAAAATTAAAAGTAGAAAAGATGCTTATACGAGTCCTTGAACACGATGCAGTGATCTGTAGGTCTCTCTGTTGTACTAGTCTGATCCCTGTATTCTCACTTTACAAAACATCAAAATCGAATACTTTTTGTGTAAAGCTTTTATGTATGATTTCAATAGGCTGGCACGAATGACTCCCTCACTACAAGTCGTAACATAATAACTCTTGTTCTCTAAATCGTAATTGGACGATTTGTGTTAGAGGTGAGGTTAGCGATTGCCCAAGCCAGCCACGAAACGGATTGGCCATCGAAAGCTAAGGTGATTATTGATATAAACAAATACTTGCTGAGAAGTGAGAATAAGGTTTCTCGTTATACACAACTAACACATTTAAACATGCAGTCAATGACTTTAGAGAATTTCGGAAATTTTCTTGAAGCATTAAAAGGCAGGAATATTTGCATTACTTGACGAATAAGCTTAAAATACCTTGGTCACAATTCTCTCCCCCGAGTCCTTGTGGACATACACAACGGTATCCTTTTGAAGTAAACCCAGCTTGACAAGTAGAATTTTTCTGACATGGGCTGCTTCCACAAGGATTCTGTGAAGAAAAAAAATGAAAAAAAGGAAACAATGCCTTTCTTTTTTTGTATGCTGAAAGCACGTATGCTTCTTGACAAATCACCATCGTTATTATTATTATCATCAATCTCATCATTGTAATATAAAAAAGAGGTCATCAGAGTTATTTTTTACAAAAAGCGCTAAACCTGATCTCTAACATTTGGGAAATTGATTTCGCCACGAACGAGGTCTGTTGTATGCCGCACCGCGTCCTACTGATTTAAAATTGCCTAATTAGAGATTTCAAGTAATCATGCCAAAACATAGCTACCTTTTTTTTCTGTTTACATTTCTGTGGTCAACCAGTCAGTCGTGTCACGTGAGGTTTCAACGATAGAAAACGTTTTATTGTGTTTAGGTTGTAAGGCTTACCTCAATTCCTCGGTAGCTGTAGCCATTTCTGGTAATGAAATTCACGTTAGTGACTTGTAAATGAGTGCTGTTATTCATGTCGCATAAAGGCATCTCACTTAATACTGGCCCGTAGTTGTAAGATACACAGTCGGGGTCCTCGTAACAAATTAGTTCAAAGCTTACTTCACTTTCAACTGGCACAGTTTTGATTATGTGATGAATTAAATACTTGTCTTTGGTGACTTGGTTGAATAGAATGGCTCTGCACTCATCTGAATTTGCTGTCACAAGTAATAAGAAAAGCAACCCATCATTATCCGCAACTGATCAACATTATCGATAGGTGTCGATGAAAATTTCTTTTATCCCTGGAGACTCCTGGTAATTGCTTTCTATCCCCCTTACATAAAGCGAGTTCTTTACATCTAGAGCAAGTACTAACATTTGGGAAACTTAAAGTGATGCATTTGGAAACGATTAGTCATGCGAACTCTTGCTTTCTTTGAGTTTGTCAGGGTCGTTGAACTTGTTACAGGACAATAACGCGCACCACTTTTTTCTTTGGCGGCAAAGTTCACAGAAACGCAGAGAGGATGATGAAGACATTTTAAGATACATTCAAATTCGTCTTATGGTGTGATTATGTCAATTCTGGGGAAAATTTAGATAATGGAACTTGTCCATTGAAAGTAGATTCCGTCTTGAATTCTGCCTATACTCGGAATCCAAATTATTACGAGTTTCTGTGGGTTCAAAATAATTACTATAAGTTAGAATATTCTTAACTGTAATTATTTGGGGAAGAAACGTATTGATTCCTGCAAACTAGAAACTTTGAATGGGGTTTTTTGGATAGATTCGTTCCTTTTATTCGAGTGACGGATGAAAGTGATCTTGTTTCTATCAATAATAAAAGTTTACTATTCTTGCCATTATTTCTGTCTTTGCCTTTAAGGTTACTCCGCACCTTAGCCAGTGCCTTCAGAGAAAAAAAAATTACACGCGATGTTTCGCATGAAACCAAAATAAAGTTAATGACAATAAATAGATTATGAAATGCAGAATACGATAAAATTGTAGGCTATTCGACTTTGCTTCCTTTAAGGCAAATCAAGCCGGTCAACAGAAAAATAAGCGAGTGCCATTCCAACGAATTAATTCGCTGGAATGACGCTCAGATGTTAAATCGAGACCAAATGATGCGAAATATTTTTCGTTTATTTTAATGGAAATCTGTCTTTTCTTTATTGAACTTGAACTTCCTTCACAGCAAAAAAAATCACCCCTTGATTGCAATTGGGGCAGATATGATGTTTAGACTAAAGAACTCATACGCTGTGTGAAAAAAAGCGTTTGTTTTCTCGAGTTGAAAAGAATATGTTAAAGTTTGTGAAAGTTTATGATGCCCTTAAAATTATATTCCGCCAGAGATTAATCTAAAAAATACAAATCGAGGAGGCTTAACTTGCTATAAGAAAGATGTTCTGTTTCGTTGGTGGTAAATATCATTATAAGATAAAAACAGGAAAATGTTAATTTTTCTTCTTTTCTTCTTGACAACAGGTGACTCAGTTATTATTTTTTCGCGTATGTAAAAGTTATCTGTGAAGGAAATTTTTAACTTGCTTTAATTTAAATAGTCGCAGGTAACTAACGGTTCTGTTTGAAGTCGGAAAACGTGTATACAGATGTAACAGACCTGCGGCAATGACCTGAATTTGTACAAAAAATTGGCTCGAAAAGTTTTTTTTTTTTATCCTATTTCGGAATAATAATGTTCAATGACATGTTTATGTCAGGAGACGAACTGCTTCCATTTTCTCATAATTATTTTACTTAGGTTACGAGACATGAATGTTAATTAGGAAACTGTTACCATATCCGTTTAGGCTTATCTTATTTAGTTTTAAAAGGCTTTCCTACAATGCTTAAGTTCCACGCAAAGCGGAATATTTGCCACTCTAGTAAATTCCTTCATTTGTGAGAGTCGAAGTTTTGTTTGTAATACACCTCTTAAAACTATTCTGGGTGAACTGCAGATGAAAGTTCATCATGTTTTTTTTAATGAGCAAATGAGTTGGTACACTAAGGGCCCACAACTTCTCTAAACATATTAAAATGTACTATCCTCCTACTGTAAAATATTAAACAAAAACGTCTCGATGTGGTAAAAACGCGGTTTGGATTAGTTTGGCCTCGAGCAAATAACCGGCCCATAATGTCAAAGAGTAAACAGCGGTAAATGCTAACGTGCTATTTCCATCAGGAAATTGAAAAGCCGCCATCTGAAGCTTGCAGCAAACATTGAAAACATAATAACGATGGCATCGTTGCTTTATTTTCTGTCAATCGCGCCCTTTTATACGGTAGCAGTGAAAGAATCGATTTCTCAGTTTTCATTTTGTCAAAGAACATACTTGAATAACCAACCTTGTGACCAGGCAATCTTGAGTATCATTGAACACAGCTCCACTAACAGAAAACAGATCCAAGTGAAAGACATTGTACAAAGTCATACAGACATGGAGGTGTACAAACTGAATGTTTCCCAGTTGAACCAAGCGTGAGATTAACTCCAATTAACTTCTTATTCACTTTTCAACCAATAGCTGTCGAGAGTTCTATCTATTTGCCTGGGTCTGTGAACACCGCCACACATGCAGTTCATAGACGATCTTTCAGCAGCTCGCTTCCCGAACGCAGCAGAAGATGGTGTAGCCGTATTGGATCCATCGCGACCATTCATTATTCAAGCAATCAGATTTGCTATTTCAACGTCGATCGGTTCTTTAACAGAAAACTTAACGTGATCAAATCTACGCCAGCCAAATTTGCTCAAAGTTTTTCTGTAGTAACAGCGCTGCAGTTGATCAAGCCGTAAAGAAGGCTCGCCGTGAGAACTACAATTGCGTCTGTAAGGGCAACTAACAGCAACTTGATCATGAGTTTCAAGTCCTCCATAAGATGCATGACGCTTCGAACGCCCTGAAAAGTAGTTCTTTAGAGAGAGCGAAACGCGCCTTAGGATAAGGTACTACTTTAGTATCGAAAAGTATAAAGGCCATAAAGCTATCTAATAAGAGCGAGTTTCGTTGGCAAGTTGCGGTCAACGAATATATGTATCTGACAAGCTCGCGTCAAACTCTGATGACGAAAAGAAAATGTCTCGAGCAGAGAGGATAGCGGAAAAAGGAAAAGCGTCGTTGGCAGTAACAAGCCAGTTCTTCTTCAAAACCAACGAGTTACAGTCAAGCACTTTGGTATGATTTGCAGGATCTTGCAGTCATTTTGCGAATAACATTAAAGGAGAAGTTTTACTTCTCAACATTTCATTCAGATTATTCATTGCCTGGCATCCTTGGTCTTCAACGTACGTACACAACCATAACCTCAGCACCTCCGACGTCATCTTGAGAAAAGAATATATGAAAAAAAAGTTCACCGATAAATAATACATAGTAAACTTTAAAGAGATCTCATTAAATAAATGACCGCTATATACATAATCCATATTTAGAGGTAGACGGAGAAGAAGGCAAATAAAAGTTGGCAAAAGTGACCTTTCCTGACTAAAACCGGTTTATGAGCACCGGCCCTGTAATCATCGGAAAGGTTAAATTTCAGATGACTCGTGCAGTTATTAAGAGAGGATGTCAGCATCCATCGAACAAATTTGAAATATTGTGGCAAGTCGCCCTTAGTTCGTTTTCACTCCTACTTTTATATTTTGTAGTCCAGTATGTTCTAATAATTGTAGTTTTTTTGTGAAAATATATTTTAGTTTTCGAGAAATGACTTTTTTCGTTCGATCGCTCAAAAATGCAAATTTTCACCGTAAATATTACCCGAGTTGTGTGACCTCATATAACGATTCCCCTTGACCTCCGGCATTTCTGTCAACATAATACTTTGTTTTATCATCTAAACTTAATCCCCTGTCATTATTGAAGCTGGCAAAGAAATATTTATTTTTTGGTGACTATTTTTGTCCGACATACTTTTCCTATGTCGAAAAGTAGCATCAAAACAAAGACAGTTTTAACAATGACCGATTTGGCAGAATCTACTGAGCTTCAAGCTTTTAAAAGACAAAAGGATGGTTATGAAGTTACTGTAAAAATTTGCTTGTGTATTTGTGTTGTTCTATCTTGAGACGAACTCAAAGTCCGGCAAAATTTACTTGATAGCCACTATGAAATATACATGGTGCGCCTACTTGTCGCCATCGTTAACTGGCATAAATCGCTACAATTTGCGAAAAATTTAATTAAATAAATTTAATTTAACATAATTGATATGGCGCTAACTCCACTAATTGACCAAAGCGCTTAAAAAAATCTAACATAACACTCTTACCTTGTTTATTTATGATTTTATTAGCTGTTTCGATGATCACCTTAATTATGCTCTACCACATTCTAGCCTAACATGAGTTCCAGTCTATATATCTTCTCTCTCTTATTATATCAGTTGCATGACAAGCGTGACACAGAAATTCAAAGACGAGTCAACCTCCGAAATACCAAGAGATGGTTTTTTTTCCTCTTTGCATGACATCTAGAAAAACCTTTCAGGAATAACTGCATTCAGAAAACTAAAATGTCCAGATCCATCAATGATTAGAACATATTGGGATACAAAATATAAAAGTAGGAGTGAAAGCAAATTTTGGGTGACTTGCCGCCGTTTGTTTGATGCATGTTGACATTAGCTCTTAAATTTTTTTCCTCCTAATTTCCATTCGAGATTTTGCCCCAGTTTGCAATTGCAATTAAATTCTGACACCCAAATGAAATGAAGTGAGGGGGGAGGGGGGCGTGGTATCTCAAAATGTCACTATTACACCATAATTATGAAAGGAGTTCGACATGGCAATTGGGCGAGTACTCTCTCTTTGACAGAGTGTGACTTCCCCCCCCCCCTTCTCCCTCCCAAAAAAATCCAGGTCACGCCCCTGAAGAAGAAAAGGAAATTGCTGAGTTATCCAAGAAGGAGTCGACTAGATCAGTTCAACGCTTATCTCAGCAAAACAAAAACAGAATGGTTATGACATACCGCTATATCTGCTTTAATAAAAAAAGAATGAATGAATGGCAACGAAACCATTCCATGAGGTCTGCGGTTTAGGAAATACCTTGTTATTTCCCTGATTTAAAAAACAAACAAACACAATCAGTAACAGAGGTATTCCAAAATTTCTTAAATCAATTCTACCTTGGGAGTTATTCCATGTGATGTTGTGAGTTTTCTTGCTGTATAGAATTGCCGGCACAGGGTGAAATTTCTCCCAGTCACAGTAAGGTCCCCCGATCATAAACCACCCGGCATCATTAGGGCATCCTGCGTACTTAGCTGAGATTTCAAAGTTTCGTGCACCGTAATGGCCATTGATGCGAAAGGGTTTTAAAGTTGTCGCATTCTTAAGATCTGTCCATTGTGATTGAAGTAGATTATTTTGTGTAAACCAGTCCACGTTAGTTGTTCCTCTGGCATTGAACTTCATAGACATAACTTCTGCTCCATTCCTGTAAAGCACTACACGTACCTAAAGTCATACAAGAAAATGATCTGTTGTCTACATGTCAAATACATCAGTATGGGGTAAGATGAGAATCGTTAAATCAGGGGATTTAAAGAATTGTTAGTCAATTTTTTATTGTCTTTTTACAAACGTTTATCAATCAATATCAATTAATCAATCAATACTACATAACATGACTATATGTAAACTCGAGAAGGCAAAGTTTTGAGCAAGAAGTTGTTCTATCGGCTTGGTTCTAGTATCACTCTGTCTTTGGCACGGCAACCCTTGTTTTTCAATCGTCCTCGAAGCACTAAAAGCTCCGTAACACCCTGAGTAATTTTTTAACGTAATTTTTGACTAGGCACTTTTGTTTCTGCTCAGAATTTCTTTGGATATTTCGTATCATTGTGGTTTGCATGTTTTGTTGTGATTTGACCTTGCGACCGGTCGTTGTTTCTCTTGAGAATCAAAGACATGGAGTGCGAGAATTTCACAATTTTAAAACATAACTCCTTTTCTGAGAACTATTCTCCTACAAGGATAAAACATGAGCACTTTCCTTATACCTATTCCCAGGACGATACACTCTTAAGGTTTGGGAAGTAAGGTAAACAAAAGAACGCAACAAATAAAGATCTCATTGCATGGCCAGTGATATCACTCAAATAAAAAACAAATTGAAACAAATTGTTTTGGTTTATATTCTTTTATATTCTTTATATTCTATTCTTTTTTATTACTAAATTATTCTCAAAAGAGGAAAGAGCAGTTCAGAAAAGTGCCTGCTTGGTTTGCCTTTAGGAACATGATGAATATCATTTGGAAAAGCGTTCGTGACAGACAATTTGAAAACAAGTTTCCATGAGGTGGAAAGCTCGATCAGGAAATATGGAAATACATTAACACTACATAAGAAATTTGTAAAACAAGGTGCACTTAGCCTAACCCTCTGTGATGTAGATATTTTCCGGACTTACCTCTTGAGGGTTAAAAGTTTGCCAACTTTGAACGATACGGTTTTTGTAGTTTCCCTGGTAGATTGAAGTGGTATCTAAGGCAGCGATAATATTTTGTGATAATGTGTCGGATGAATTCCATAACGCGTCAGCAGTCGGAGAGGAAGAATCTCCTCCAATGTATTTGAATATCATCGTCCAACCTTAAAATAAAAAAAAAAGTCAGAAATAATCTAGGTTCGTGGAAATTTCTTGTTCCTTTGGAAACTCTAGAAATTGTTTTTTCGAATTGACTGAATGGTTATGGACGTAAGTCCTGGGACCTTCCTAGCCAAGTGAGTTAGCCACCTCTAAATCAATTGGAAAAAGAGGGTAAGTTTCTAAAGAAACTGTTGTGCTGCGTCGGTTGGAGAGTATAACAGGGTAATTTAGTGTTATCAACTGGTTTGAAAACGTAAATTGGCCACCGTAAAGAGTTTAAAGGATGACGTTTCGAGCGTTAGCCTTTCGTCAGAGAGATACTGATCCGGTTAACCCCATTGAGATTCTTGTAATAAAATATGTGTTTATTGTTTATCATATTGTAAGAGAGGAGATGAACTTTGTTCGTTTGTCTCACGACATAGTCACTTTTGATGTAGATCGCGACGTTTCGACTGCAATACTGCTAGTCTTCATCAGGCAACGAGGTCGATTGTTTACGTGTTTACGTGGAAGAACTTGAGGAACAGGCAATAACAAATGCGACTTGAAAACTAAGATCTGGAAACGATATGTAGATGACACTTTCACAGTCTTAGACCGCGACAATGTCGATGGCTTTTTTACAACATCTAAACAGTCAACAGCCTACTATTCGTTTTACCATGGAAATCGAGAAAGATAACACCAGTCCTTTTCTCGACACAACAGTTACAAGGGAAACAGACGGTCTTCTCACTACTACTGTTTACAGAAAGCCCACCCACACTGTCCAGTACCTAACCTATGATTCACACCACCCTCAGTCAGTAAAGCGTGGTTTTGTTAAGTGTCTATAAGACCCAGCTAAACACCTCACAATGACACCGTCGGTTATCTCTGAGCAAAAAAAACCCTTGTCATCAGTACTTGTTTCTAATGGTTATCTTTCTTCATTTTTTATGAAGACTCGCAAAGACAACAAGGGTAACAGCCAACAAAGGCCGCTCAGGAATTTAAATCTATTGACATTCTCGCTTACATAAAGGGTGTATCAGTAGTTCTTCGCCGCTGCCTACAACAACAAGGCATATATACGAACCGTATAGCAGTCGAAACGCCGCGATCTACATCAAAAGTGACTCTATCGTGAGACAAACGAACAAAGTTCATCTCCTATCGAGATCCTCCTATTTAGTTTGACGTACCACCTCCATCACTTGTCTGGTCGCAGTACACTGGGAATGAGTCTGATACATGATTGGAAATTTCGTAGACTCCTGTTTCCCTCGGGGCTTGGGAACAGTTCTGAGGCAGAATGACTGAAAAGATGAAAATCTGTTTTCATCAAATCCGAATACTTTTTTTATAAAGCTATCAAATATGATTTCAATAGGTTGGTACGAATGACTCCCTCACTACAAGTCGTAACATAGTAACTCTTGTTCTCTAAATAACAATGAGACGATTTTGAAAAAAACATAAACATGCTAAATTGTGTTAGATGTTAATGATTCCTCAAGCCGCAAGACGGACTGGCCATAGAAAACCTAAGATAATTATGATGTAAACAAATACTTGCTAAGAAGTGAGAAGGAGGTTTTTCGTTATACACAACTAACATATTTAAACATGAGGTCAATGACTTTAGAGAACTTCGAAAATTTTCTGAAGCAAAAAAAAACAAGAAAACCAAGAAGTATAAAAAGGCGGGAATATTTGCATTACTTGATGAATAAGCTACAAAATACCTTGGTCACAATTCTCTCCCCCGAGTCCTTGTTGACAGACACAACGGTATCCTTTTGAAGTAAACCCAGCTTGACAAGTAGAATTTTTCTTACATGGGCTGCTTCCGCATGGATTCTGTGATAAAAAAAAAGGAAACAGTGCCTTTCCTTTTTTTGTATGCTAAGAGCACGTGTGCTTCTTGAGAGATTACTATCACCATTATTATTATTATCATCGTTGTAATTTTGAAAAGAGATCATCGGAGTCATTCTTTCGAAAAAGCATTAAACCTCAAGAAGATTTCACCTGGTCTCCAACATTTGGGAAATTAATTTCGCCATGGACGAGGTCTGTTGTATACCTCACTGCGTCCCACTGATTAAAATTACCGAATTAAAGAGTTCAGGTAATCATTCCAGAACATAGCTACCTTTTCTTCCTGTTTACATTTCTGTAGTCAACCAGTCAGTCGTGTCAAGTGAAGTTTCAACAAAAAAAAAAAAAAATTGTTGTGTTTAGGTTGTAAGGCTTACCTCAATTCCTCGGTAGCTGTAGCCATTTCTGGTAATGAAATTCACGCTGGTGACTTGTAAATGAGTGCTGTTATTCAGGTCGCATGACGGAATATCGCCTAGTAGTGGCCCGTAGTTGTAAGACACACAGTCGGGATCCCCATAACAGATGAGTTCACAGCCTACTTCACTTTCAACTGGCAGAGATTTAATTATGTGATTAAGTAAATACTTGTCTTTGGTGACTGGGTTAAACAGAATGGCTCTGCACTCATCTGAATTTGCTGTCACAACTAAAAATAACAACAATTTATCATTATCCGTAACTGATCAACATTATCGATATGTGTCGATGAAAATTTATTTCATCCCTCGAGGCTCCTGGTAATTGCCCTCTATCCCCCTTAAATAATGCGAGTTCCTTTCATCTATAGCAAGTACTAGCATTTGGAAAACTTATTGTGATGCATTTGGAAACGAATAGTCATGCGAACTCTTGCTTTCTTTGAGTTTTTCAGGGTTGTTGAACTTGTTACAGGACAACAACGCACACCACTTTTTTCCTTTGGCGGCAAAGTTCACAGAAACGCAGAGAGGATCGGTCAAAAAATTTTAAGATGCATTCAAAGTCATCATATAGTGTGATCATGTCAATTCGGGGTACATTTAGATAATGGAACTTGTCCACTGAAAGTAGATTCTGTCTTGAATTCTGCCTATACTCAGAATTCAAATCATTACGAGTTTCTGTGGGTTGAAGATAATTACTATAAGTTAGAATATTCTTAACTGTAATTATTGGGGAAGAAACGTATTGATTCCTGCAAACTAAAAAACTTTGAATGAGGGTTTTAGGATAGATTCCTTCCTTTTACCCGAGTGACGGATGAAAGTGGTCTTGTATCTATCAATAACAAAAGTTTACTATTCTTGCCATTGTTTCTGTCTTTGCCTTTAAGGTTACTCCGCACCTTAGCGAGTGCCTTCAGAGAAAAAATTTACACGCGATTTTTCTCATGAAACCAAAATAGAGTAAATAACAATAAATAGATTATTAAATACACAACACGATAAAACTGTAAATGGCAAATGAAGCCGGTCAACAGAAAAATGACCGAGCGCCATTCCAGCGAATTAATTACCGATCAATTCGCTAGAATGGCGGTTAGTTATTAAATTGAGGCCAAATGTTGCGAAATTTTCTCCTTTCATTCTCAAAAGCGATATTTCGCATGAAACTAAAATAAAGTTAATAACAATAAATAGTTTATTAAATGCAGAATACGATAAAATTGTAGGGTATTCGACTTTGCTTCCGTTAAGACAAATAGAATAAGCGAGTGCCATTTCAGGGAATTTATTATTGATTAATTCGCTGGAATAGCGCTCAGATATTAAATTGAGGCCTAATGTTGCGAAATATTTTCCGTTTATTGTTATGGAAATGAATTTTTTCATTATACTTTGAACTTCCTCCACAGAATCTTTAGTCTTTTGAGGATGCTAAAAAATTGCCTCTTAATTGCAATTGAGGCAGATATGATTTTTAGACAAAAGAAGTCATACGCTGTGTCAAAAAAGGCGTTTGTTTTCTCTTGATGAAAAAAAATATGTCAAAGTTTATTAAAGTTTATGATGCCCTAAAAATTAAATTCCGTTGAAAATTAATCTAAAAAGATAAAAATCGTGGAGGCTTAACATGTTATGGCAAAGAGGTTCTTCTGTTTCGTTGGTGGTTAATTTTATGTTAGGAAATTTTAATTTTTCTTCTTTTGTTTTTGACAACAGGTGACTCGGTAACTGTTTTTCGCGTATGTAAAATTTAAACAAAATTGTCTGGAATTTTTAACTCGGTTTAATTTTAATAGCCGCGGGTAATTAACGGTTTTGTTTGAAGTTGGAAAACGTGTATACAGATATTGCCCACCTACGGGAATGACCTGAATTTGTACGCAAAATTGGCTCGAAAAGTTTTTCTTTTCACCCTACTTCGGAATGATAATGTTCAATAACATGTTTATGTCAGGAGAGGAACTGCTTCCATTTTCTCATAAATACCTTACTTAGGTTACGAGACATGAATGTTAATTAGGAAACTGTTAACTTATCTGATTTAGTTTTACAAGGCATTTCTACGGCGCTTAGCTTTTAAGTTCCGCGCAAAGCAGAATAATTGCCACTCTGGTAAATACCTTTATTTGTGAGAGTCGAAATTTTGTTAGTGATACGCCTCGCAAAACTATTCTGGGTGAAAGGCAGATAGAAGTTCGCCATGTTTTTTTAATGAGGAAAGGTGTAAGTACATTAAGGGCCCACAACTTCTCTTAACATATTAAAATATACTATCCTCCAACTTTAAAGATTAAACAGAAACGTTTGGATGTGGTAAAATCGTGGTTTGGATTACTCTGTCCTTGAGTAAATAACCGGCCCATAATGTCAAAGAGCAAACAGCGGTAAATGCTAACGTGCTAGTTCCATCATGAAATTGAAAAGCCGCCATCTGTAGCTTACAGCAGACGATGCAAACACAATAACGATGACACCGTTGCTTTATTTTCTGTCAATCGTGCTTTTTTTTTTTTGTTTTTTTGCTTCTTGATAGAATCGATTTCTCAGTTTTCATTTTTTCAAAGAACATACTTGAATAACCAACCTTGTAACCAGGCAATCTTGGGTATCATTGAACACAGATCCAGTAACAGAAAACAGATCCAAGTGAAAGACATGGCACAAAGTCATACAGACATGGAGTTGTACAAACTGAATGTTTCCCAGCTGTACTACGCATGAATAAAGGAGTAAGTTTCTAAAGAAACTGTGGTGCTGCGCCGGTGGGAGACTATAGCAGGTAATTTAGTGTTAACAACTGAGTTGAAAACGTAAATTAGCCACCGTAAAGGGTAAAAAAGCTGTCGTTTCGAGCGTTAGTCCTTCGTCAGAGCTGTACTACGCATGAGATTAGCTTCAGTTAAATTCCTGCTTACCTTTTAACCAATAGCTGTCGAGAGTTCTGTCTATTTGCCTTTTACGGTACAATTTCGTTAAACATGAAGCCTATGCAAGGTATGAAATAAATATGAGGAAAATTTAAATATATTTTTAATAGAATACCAAGGCGTTTAAACTCCGTTTCCATGGCCAGTTTTGCTCAATAAAGGCTGTAAGGATGAAAGGCCATCAATTGTTAAGGTTATTTCTCCTGCTATTTCACACATAACCACCGTTATCGAACTAATACAAAGTTGTTTAAAATAACCATCCTATATTCATTTGTGAGAGTCGTAATAATGTTGTTTTGGCCTTGCACAAATTACAGGCCCATAATGTCAAAGAGCAAACAGCGGTTAATGCTAACGTGCTATTTCCACGAGGAAATTGAAAAGCCGCCATCTGTAGCTTGCAGCAGACACTGAAAACACAATAACGATGATACCGTTACTTTATTGTCTGTCAATCGCGCTTTTTATTTTTTATTTTATGTAATGGTACAGTTTTGTTAAACAATAAGTCCATACAAGGTAATAAATAAATATAAGGAAACTTTAAAAATATTTTTTAAAAGAACACCAAGGCGTTTAAACTCCGTTTAACACAACCACTATAACACTGTGTAAATGAACAAATTGACAAGAACACGAACATATCTGCTTTACAAAGCTGAGCAGATATTTTTTTCCTTCACGTTCTGAATGGCAATGTGTATTTATTGGTTAGTGTTCCAATATGTCTTAGTTATGTGTTAAGTTATTTCAATAACGGTATACAAGTGTTGAGTAATAAAAATTGAGAGTTGGTCCGTTGGGTCTGTGAACACCGCCACACAGGCAATTAATTTTAAGATAGGATTTTATCTTTTAGCATCTCGCCTCACAAACACAGCAGATGATGGTGTAGCCATATTGGATCCATCGCGACCATCCATTATTCAAGTTTGCCAAATTTTGTTTCTTCAAAGTTTTTCTGTAAATAACGGCACTGCAGTTGACCAAGCCGTTAAGAAGGCTCGTCGTGAGAACTACACCTGCGTCTGTAAGGGCGACTAACAGCAACTTGATCATTAGTTTTCAAGTCCTCGATAAGAGGCATGACGCTTCCAACGCCCTGAAAAGTAGTTCCTTAGAGAGAGCGAAACGCGCCCCAGGAGAAGGTACCACTCTAATATCGAAAAATATAAAGGCCATAAAGCTATCTGATAAGAGCGAGTTTCGTTGGCAAGTTATGGTCAACAAACATCCATCTGACAATGACGAAAAGAAAATGTCTCGAGTAAAGAGGAAAGCCGTTTAGGATAGGCTTCGTTGGCAGCAACGAGCCCGTTCTTCCCAAAAACTATCAAGGTCAGCAGCAAAGCACTTCGATATGATTTGTAGGATCTTGCAGTCATTTTGCGTATAACGTTAAAACATAATTTTTACTTCTCAACATTTCATTCAGATTATTCATTGCCTGGGATCCTTGGTCTTCAACGTACGTACGCAACCATAACCTCAGCAGCGCTTCCGACGTCGGCTTCAGAAAAGAATATAATAAAAAAAAAAACTAGCGATAAATAATACATAGTAAACTATTTATTGAGATCTCATTAAATAGACTATTAAAATAATGCGTAATCCATAATTAGAGATAGATAGAGCAGAAAACATATAAGAAGTTGGCAAAAGTGACCTTTTCCGAGTGAAACCGGTTTTAGAGCACCGGCCTTTTATTCATCGGAGAGGTTAAAATTTCAGGTGACTCGTGCATTTATTTCAGTTCTCCTCTCAATTTCCTACTGAGATTTTGCCCAGTAATTAACTATTGCACTCAAACTGTGACACCCAGATGAAATAAATAGAGGAGGGAGTCTTAAAATGTCACTATTGCACCATATTTATGAAAAGTCGATATGGCAATCTGACGAGTACTCTCTATTTGACACGGTGTAATACCCCCCCTACCCCCCGCCCCCTTCCCTTCCCTTTGAAAACATCTAGGTCACGCCCCTGAAGAAGAAAAGGAAATTGCCCAGTTATCCAAGAAGGAGTCGACTAGGTCAGTTCAACGATTATCTCGGCAAAACAGAATGGTTATTCCATACCGTTTTATCACTTTGATAAAAAAAAGAATAAATGAATGGCAACGAAACCATTCCATGAGGTCTGTTTAGGAAATATCTTGTTACTTTCCTGATTTAAAAACAAACCAACAAACAAAGAAACAAAAGCAGTAATAGAGGTATTCCAAGACTTCTTAAATCAATTTTTACCATAACAGAAGTATTTCAAGATTTTTAAAATCAATTTCTATCTTGGCTATTATTCCATGTGATTTTATGAGTTTTCTTGCTGTATAGAATTGCCGGCACAGGGTGAAATCTCTCCCAGGCACAGTAAGGTCCTCCGATTATAAACCACCCAACATCATTAGGGCATCCTGCGTACTTAGCTGTAATTTCAAAGTTTCGTGTACCGTAATGGCCATTGATGCGAAAGGGTTTTAAAGCTGTCGCATTCTTAAGATCTGTCCATGGTGATTGAAGTAGATTATTTTGTGTAAACCAATCCACGTTAGTAGTTCCTCTGGCATTGAACTTCATAGACATAACTTCTGCTCCATTCGTGTAAAGCACTACACGGACCTAAAGTCATACAAGAAAATGATCTGTTGTCTACATGTCAAATACATGAGTATGGGGTAAGATGAGAATCGTTACATCGGGGAATTTAAAGAATTGTTGATCAACTTTTTATTGTCTTTTTACAAACTTATTTTGAAGGATTCCGACAGTTTATCAATCAATATCAATCAATCAATACCACGTAACATGACTATATGTAAACTCGAGAAGGCAAAGTTTTGAGCAAGAAGTTGTTTTATCGGCTTGGTTCTAGTATCACTCTGTCTTTGGCACGGCAACCCTTGTTTTTTCAATCATCCTCGAAGTATTAAAAGCTAACACTCTGAGTACTTTTTAACGTAATATCTGAATGAGCACTTTTGTTTCAGCTCAGAAATCCCACGACCATTCATCCTAAAAGTTTGGGAAGTAAGGTAAACAAAAGAACGCAACAAATAGAGATCTCATTGCATGGCCAGTGATATCACTCTTTGAAACAAATTGTTTTAGTTTATGTTCTTTTATATTATTTATATTCCATTCTTTTCTATTCCTAATTCTTCTCAAAAGAGGCAAGCAGTTCAGAAATGTGTCCGCTTGGTTTGTCTTTAGGAACATGATGAAAAGCATCTGGAAAAGTGTTTCGTGACAGACAATTTGAAGACAAGTCTTCCATTAGATGGAAAGCTCGATCAGGCAAATGGAAAAAAAAATCCAAAAGAGTCTAACTGATTTATTTTTACAGGCCATTTCTATGGAAATACATTAACATTGTATAAGAAAATTGTAAACTAAGGTGCATTTAGCCTAATCCTCTTTGGTGTAGATATTTTCCGGACGTACCTCTCGAGGGTTAAAAGTTTGCCAACTTTGAACAATACAGTTTTTGAACGATACGGTTTTTGTAGTTTCCCTGGTAGGTCGAAGTGGTATCTAAGGCAGCGATAATATTTTCTGATAATGTGTCGGACCAATTCCATAACGCTTTACCAGTCGGAGAGGAAGAATCTTCTCCAATGTATTCAAATATCATCGTCCAACCTCAAAAATGTCAAAAATAGTCCAGGTTCGTGAAAATTGCTTGTTCCTTTGGAAAACTCTGGATATAGTTTTACGAATTGACTGAATGGACATGACCTAAGTTCAAGGACCTTCCTAGCCAAGTGAGTTAGCCACCTCTAAATCAACTACTTATTTGGAAAAAGGGGGTAAGTTTCTAAAGAAACTGTGGTGCTGCGTCGGTGGGAGAGTATAACAAGGTAATCTAGTGTTATCAACTGAAATAAAAACGTAAATTGGACACCGTAGAGTTTAAATTTGTCAATTTAATATGCCTAACGGTTGAATTTTTTGGCCGTTTTACGCCTAACGGTTAACCCATCGAGATCCTCTTATTTAGTTTGACGTACCACCTCCATCACTTGTCTGGTCGCAGTACACTGGGAATGAGTCTGATCTATGATTAGAAATTCTGCAGACTGGAAATGTTCAACATGTTTATGTCAGGAGAGGAACTGCTTGCACTTTCTCATAATTACCTTACTTAGGTTACGAGACGTGAATGTCAATTAGGAAACTTTTAACATGTTGTTTAGGCTTATCACCTTTTTTTTAACAACTTGCCTTTTCTACGGCGCTTAGCTTTTAAGTTCCGCGCAAAGCGGAATAATTGCCACTCTGGTAAATTCCTTTATTTGTGAGAGTCGAAATCTTGTTTGTTGTACGCCTTGTAAAACTATTCTGGGTGAACGGCAGATAAAAGTTCGTCAGGTACTTATCATGAGCAAACGAGTTAGGACACTAAGGGCCCACAACTTCTCCAAACTTATCACAATATACTATCCTCTAACTGTAAAATATTAAACAGAAACGTCTGGATATGGTAAAACTGTGGTTTGGGTTAGTTTGGCCTCGTGCAAATGACCGGCCCATAATGTCAAAGAACAAATGATAACGTGCTATTTCCATCAGGAAATTGAAAAGCCGCCATCTGTAGCTTGCAGCAAACATTGAAAACACAATAACGATGACAACGTTGCTTTATTTTCAGTCAATCGCGTTTTTTTTTTTTTACGGTAGTAATGAAAGAATGTATTTCTCAATTTTCAGTTTGTCAAAGAACATACTTGAATAACCAACCTTGTAACCAGGCAATCTTGGGTATCATTGAACACAGATCCAGTAACAGAAAACAGATCCAAGTGTAAGACATGGCACAAAGTCATACAGATAAAGAGTTGTACAAATTGAATGTTTCCCAGCTGTACTACGCATGAGATTAGCTTTAATCAACTTCATGTTCACTTTTCAACCAATAGTTGTCGAGAGTTCTGTCTATTTACCTTTTACGGTACAATTTCGTTAAACAAGAAGCCTACGCAAGGTATTAAATAAATGTGAGGAAAAAATTTAGATATATTTTTTAACAGAACACTGAAGAGTTTAAACTCCTTTTCCATCGGCAGTTTCGCTCAATGGAGGCTGCAAGGATGAAAGGCCGTTAATAGTTAAGGCTATTTCTCCTGCTAACTTTACATGTACCACCGTTATCGAAGTTATATAAAGTTTTTTGAAATTCCAATCTTATTTCAAAACAAAACAACTATAACACTGTGTAAATGAACGAACTGACAAGAACATGAAAATATATGCGTTACGAAGATGTGCAGATATTTTTTTTTTCGTGCACGTTCTGAATGGCAATGTTTATTAGTGAGTGTGTCGATATGTCTTAAGTTATGTGCTAACTTTTTTGAATAACGGTGTATAAGTGTTGAGTAATAAGAATAGAGAGTTCGTCCGTCGGGTCTGTGAACCTCAGCAAGCAGAGAGGATAGCCGTTAAGGATAAGCGTCGTTGGCAGTAACGAGCTAGTTCTTCTCGAAAAGCATCCAGTTAACAGTCAAGCACTTCGATATGATTTGTAGGATCTTGCAGTCATTTTGCGTATAACGTTAAAGCAGAAGTTTTACTTCTCAACATTTCATTCAGATTATTCATTGCCTGGCATCCTTGGTCTTCAACGTACATACACAACCATAACCTCAGCACCTCCGACGTCATCTTGAGAAAAGAATATATGAAAAAATATATTAACCGATAAATAATACATAGGAAACTATTGATTGAGATCTCATTAAATAAACGATTACCATAATACATAATTTTTATCAAGAGAAAGAAGGAGAAGAAGACAGAGAAGATCCGAGTGAAACCGATTTTTGAGCACCAGCCTTGTAATCATCACATATGTTAAATTTCAGATGACTCATACAGTTATTGCATCTTCTCCTTTCAATCTCCTACCGAGATTTGGATGAGCGTCTTGAAATGTCTATAATACACCCTATACATGAAAGTTCGACATAATAATCTGAATAATCTGACGCGTACTCTTTCTTTGACACAGTGTGACCCCTCCCCCCTCCCTTTAAAAAATCCTGGTCACCACCCTGAAGAAGAAAAGGAAATTGCCGAGTTATCCAAGAAGGGGTCGACTAGATCATTTCAACGATTATCTCAGCAAAAAAAAAAACAGAATAGTTATTCTATACCGTTTTATCCGCTTTAATAAAAAAAGGGAATAAGTAAATGGCAAGAAAAATACCATTCCATGAGGTCTACGTAGGAAATATCTTGTTATTTCATTGATTTGATAACAAATAAAAACAAAAATAATAATAATAATAATAATAATAACAACAGTATCAGAGGTATTCCAAGATTTCTTAAATCAATTTTTACCATAAGAGAGGGATTCCAAGATTTTTAAAATAAATTTCTACCTTGGGCCTTACTCCATGTGATTTTATGAGTTTTCTTGCTATACAGAATGGCTGGCACAGGGTGAAATCTCTCCCATTCACAGACAGATCCACCGATCATAAACCACCCAACATCATTAGGACATCCTGCGTACTTAGCTGTAATTTCAAAGCTTCGTGCACTGTGATAGCCATTTATGCGAAAGGGATATATGTTTGTCGCATTCTTAAGATCAGTCCATGGTGATTGAAGTAGATTATTTTGTGTAAACCAGTCCACGTTAGTTGTTCCTCTGGCATTGAACTTGATAGACATAGCTTCTGCTCCATTCGTGTAAAGCACTACACGTACCTAAAGTCATACAAGAAAATGATCTGTTGTCTACATATCAAATACATAAGTATGGGTAAGATGAGAATCGTTACATGGGGGAATTTAAAGAATTTTTGATCAATTTGTCTTTTTACAAACTTGTTTTGAAGAATTCCGACAGTTTATCAATCAATATCAATCAATCAATACCACATAACATGACTATATGTAAACTCGAGAAGGCAAAGTTTTGAGCTAGAAGTTGTTGTATCGGCTTCGTTCTAGTATCACTCTGTCTTTGGCACGGCAACTTTTGTTTTTCAATCGTCCTCGAAGCACTAAAAGTACTGATGATAACCACGACTGGAGTTTTGTTTGCATATGATCAGTTCATTAGGCGGTGCGAATCTTTAAAAGTACTCTGAGTACTTTTAACGTAATTTCTGTATGAGCACTTTTGTTTCAGCTCAAAATTTCTGTTGAATATATTACATCATTGTGGTTTGCATATTTTGTTGTGGTTTTGCCTTACCACCAATCACAGTTTCTCTTGAGAATTAAAGATATGGAGTGCGAGAACTGTGCACTTTTTTCAAAAAATAACTCTTTTTCCAAGAACTGTTCTCCTGCAAGGATAAAACATGAGTACTTTCCTTATGTCTATTCCCAATACGATACACTCTCTAGGTTTGGGAAGTAAGGTAAACAAAAAAATGGAACTAATAAAGATCTCATTGCATAGCCAGTGATATCACTCTTTGACACAAATTGTTTTGGTTTATATTCTTTTATATTATTTATATTCCATTCTTTTATATTCCTTAATTCTTCTCAAAAGAGGCAAGAGTAGTTCAGGAAAGTGAGTGCTTGCTTTGTCTTGATGAAAAGCATTTGGAAAAGTGTTTCGTGACAAACAATTTGAAGACAAGTCTTCCATAAGATGGAAAGCTCGATCAGGCAAATGGAAAAAAAAAATCCAAAAAAAGTCCAACTGATTTACTTTTACAGGCCATTTCTATGGAAATACATTAACATTGCATAAGAAAATTGTAAACTAAGGTGCATTTAGTGGTGTAGATATTTTCCGGACGTACCTCTCGAGGGTTGAAAGTTTGCCAACTTTGAACGATACGGTTTTTGTAGTTTCCCTGGTAGGTTGAAGTGGTATCTAAGGCAGCGATAATATTTTCTGATAATGTGTCGGACCAATTCCATAACGTATCACCAGTCGTAGAGGAAGAATCTCCTCCAATGTATTTGAATATCATCGTCCAACCTCAAAATCGAAAAAAAAATTGTCAAAAATAGTCGAGGTTCGTGAAAATTGCTTGTTCCTTTGGAAAACTCTGGATATAGTTTTACGAATTGACTGAATGGACATGAGCTAAGTCCAAGGACCTTCCAAGCCATTTGAGTTAGCCACCTCTAAATCAACTACTTATTTGGAAAAAGGGGGTAAGTTTCTAAAGAAACTGTGGTGCTGCGTCGGTGGGAGAGTATAACAAGGTAATCTAGTGTTATCGACTGAGTTGAAAACAAATTGGCCACCGTAGAGTTTAAATTTGTCAATTTAATATGCCTAACGGTTGAATTTTTTGCCGGTTTTACGCCTAACGGTTAACTCATCGAGATCCTCTTATTTAGTTTGACGTACCACCTCCATCACTTGTCTGGTCGCAGTACACTGGGAATGAGTCTGATCTATGATTAGAAATTCTGTAGACTCCTGTTTCCTTTGGGGCTTGAGAACAGTTCTGAGTCAGAATGACTGGAAAAATTAAAAGTAGAAAAGATGCTTATAAGAGTCCTTGAACACGATGCAATGATCTGTAGGTCTCTCTGCTGTACTGGTCTGATCCCTATACTCTCATTTCACAAAACTTCAAATTCGAATACTTTTTGTGTAAAGCTTTTAATTATGATTTCAATAGGTTGGCACGAATGACTCCCTTACTACAAGTCGTAACATAATAACTCTTGTTCTCTAAATCATAATTGGACGACTTTGAAAACAAAAACCATGCTAAATTGTGTTAGAGGTGAGGTTAGCGATTGCCCAAGCCAGCCACGAAACGGATTGGCCATCGAAAGCTAAGGTGATTATTGATATAAACAAATACTTGCTGAGAAGTGAGAATGAGGTTTCTCGTTATACAAAACTAACACATTTAAACATGCAGTCAAAGACTTTAGAGAATTTCGGAAATTTTCTTGAGCAGAAATACAAGAATACCAAGAAGCATTAAAAGGCAGGAATATTTGCATTACTTGACGAACAAGCTTAAAATACCTTGGTCACAATTCTCTCCCCCGAGTCCTTGTGGACATACACAACGGTATCCTTTTGAAGTAAACCCAGCTTGACAAGTAGAATTTTTCTGACATGGGCTGCTTCCACAAGGATTCTGTGATGAAAAAAAATGAAAAAAAGGAAAGAATGCCTTTCTTTTTTTGTATGCTGAAAGCACGTATGCTTCTTGAAGAATCACCATCGTTATTATTATTATTATCATGAATCTCATCATTGTAATATTAAAAAGAGGTCATCAGAGTTATTTTTTACAAAAAGCACTAAACCTGATCTCCAACATTTGGGAAATTGATTTCGCCACGAACGAGGTCTGTTGTATGCCGCACCGCGTCCTACTGATTTAAAATTGCCCTATTAGAGATCTCAAATAATCATGCCAAAACATAGCTACCTTTTTTTTCTGTTTACATTTCTGTGGTCAACCAGTCAGTCGTGTCACGTGAGGTTTCAACGATAGAAAACGTTTAATTGTGTTTAGGTGGTAAGGCTTACCTCAATTCCTCGGTAGCTGTAGCCATTTCTGGTAATGAAATTCACGCTGGTGACTTGTAAATGAGTGCTGTTATTCATGTCGCATAAAGGAATCTCACTTAATACTGGCCCGTAGTTGTAAGACACACAGTTGGGGTCCTCATAACAAATTAGTTTACAGTTTACTTCACCTTCAACTGGCACAGTTTTGATTATGTGATGAAGTAAATACTTGTCTTTGGTGACTGGGTTGAATAGAATTGCTCTGCACTCATCTGAATTTGCTGTCACAAGTAATAAGAAAAGCAATCCATCATTATCCGCAACTGATCAACATTATCGATAGGTGTCGATGAAAATTTATTTTATCCCTCGAGACTCCTGGTAATTGCTTTCTATCCCCCTTACATAAAGCGAGTTCTTTACATCTAGAGCAAGTACTAACATTTGGAAAACTTATAGTGATGCATTTGGAAACGAATAGTCATGCGAACTCTTGCTTTCTTTGAGTTTGTCAGGGTCGTTGAACTTGTTACAGGACAATAACGCGCACCACTTTTTTCTTTGGCGGCAAAGTTCACAGAAACGCAGAGAGGATGATCAAGACATATTAAGATATATTCAAAGTCGTCATATGTGTGATTATGTCAATTCGGGGTACATTTAGATAATGGAACTTGTCCACTGAAAGTAGATTCTGTCTTGAATTCTGCCTATACTCGGAATCCAAATTATTACGAGTTTCTATGGGTTCAAAATAATTACTATAAGTTAGAATATTCTTAACTGTAACTATTTGAGGAACAAACGTATTGATTCCTACAAACTAGAAACTTTGAATGGGGTTTTTTGGATAGATTCCTTTCTTTTATCCGAGTGACGGATGAAAGTGGTCTTGTTTCTATCAATGACAAAATTTTACTATTCTTGCCATTATTTCTGTCTTTGCCTTTAAGGTTACTCCGCACCTTATCCAGTGCCTTCAGAGAAAAAAAAACATTTACACGCGATGTTTCGCATGAAACCAAAATAAAGTTAATGACAATAAATAGATTATGAAATGCAGAATACGATAAAATTGTAGGCTATTCGACTTTGCTTCCTTTAAGGCAATATTAAAGGCAGATATTAAATCGAGACCAAATGTTGCGAAATATTTTTTATTCTAATGGAAATCTGTTTTTTTTTTATTGAACTTAAACTTCCTTCACAGCAAGGACTAAAGAACTCATACGCTGTGCGAAAAAAAGCGTTTGTTTTCTCGTGTTGAAAAGAATATGTTAAAGTTGTGAAAGTTTATGATGCCCTTAAAATTATATTCCGCCAGAGATTAATCTAAAAAATAAAAGTCGAGGAGGCTTAACTTGCTATAAGAAAGATGTTCTGATTCGTTGGTGGTAAATATCATTATAACATAAAAAACAGTAAAATGTAAATTTTTCATCTTTTCTTCTTGACAACAGGTGACTCAGTTATTATTTTTTCGCGTATGTAAAAGTCATCTGTAAAGGGAATTTTTAACTTGCTTTAATTCAAATAGTCGCAAGTAACTAACGGTTCTGTTTGAAGTTGGAAAACGTGTATACAGATGTAACACACCTGCGGGAATGACTTGAATTTGTACACAAAATTGGCTCGAAAAGTTTTTTTTTCCACCCTATTTCGGAATAATAATGTTCAATGACATGTTTATGTCAGGAGACGAACTGCTTCCATTTTCTCATAATTACTTTACTTAAACTGTTACCATGTCCGTTTAGGCTTATCTTATCTAGTTTTACAAGGCTTTCCTACAATGCTTAGCTTTCAAGTTCCACACAAAGCGGAATATTTACCACTCTTGTAAATTCCTTCATTTGTGAGAGTCGAAGTTTTGTTTGTAATACACCTCTTAAAACTATTCTGCGTGAACTGCAGATAAAAGTTCATCATGTTTTTTTTAATGAGCAAATGAGTTGGTACACTAAGGGCCCACAACTTCTCTAAACATATTAAAATATACTATCCTCCTACTGTAAAATATTAAACAAAAACGTCTGGATGTGGTAAAAACGTAGTTTGGATTAGTTTGGCCTCGAGCAAATAACCGGCCCATAACGTCAAAGAGTAAACAGCAGTAAATGCTAACGTGCTATTTCCATCAGGAAATTGAAAAGCCGCCATCTGAAGCTTGCAGCAAACATTGAAAACACAATAACGATGACATCGTTGCTTTATTTTCTGTCAATCGCGCCCTTTTATACGGTAGCAGTGAAAGAATCGATTTCTCAGTTTTCATTTTGTCAAAGAACATACTTGAATAACCAACCTTGTGACCAGGCAACCTTGGGTATCATTGAACACAGCTCCACTAACAGAAAACAGATCCAAGTGAAAGACATGGTACAAAGTCATACAGACATGGAGGTGTACAAACTGCATGTTTCCCAGTTGTACTAAGCGTGATATTAACTCCAATCAACTTCCTATTCACTTTTCAACCAATAGCTGTCGAGCGTTCTATCTATTTGGCTTTAATGGTACAATTTTGTTGAACAAGAGGTCCATACAAGGTATTAAGTAAATATGAGGAAAACTGAAATTTATTTTTAAAGAGAATACCATAGCGTTTAAACTCCGTTCCACGGCCAGTTTTGCTCAATTGAGGCTGTAAGGATGAAAGGCCGTCAATTGTACACGTACCCACCGTTAGCGAACTTATACAAAATGGTTTAAAATTTCCATCTTATATAAAAACTAACACAACAGCTGCAACACTATGTAGATGAACAAATTGACAAGGATATTAAAATATGTGCATTACGAAGATGAGCAGATATTTTTTTCCTTCACGTTCTGAATTGCATTGTGCGTTTAATAGTGAGTGTTTCGATATGTCCTAAGTTATGTGTTAAGTTATTTGAATAACGGTATATAAGTGTTGAGTAATAAAAATTGAGAGTTGGTCCGTCGGGTCTGTGAACACCGCCACGCAGGCAGTTAATTTGAAGACGGACGATCTTTCAGCAGCTCGCTTCCCGAACGCAGCAGAAGATAGTGTAGCCGTATTGGATCCATCACGACCATCCATTATTCAAGCAATCAGATTGGATATTTCAACGTCGATCGGTTCTTTAACAGAAAACTTAACGTGATCAAATCTACGCCAGCCAAATTTGCTCAAAGTTTTTTCTGTAAGTAACAGCGCTGCAGTTGACCAAGCCGTAAAGAATGCTCGCCGTGAGAACTACACTTGCGTCTGGAAGGGTAACTAACAGCAACTTGATCATGAGTCCTTGATAAGATGCATGACGCTTCGAACGCCCTGAAAAGTAGTTCTTAAGAGAGAGCGAAACGCGCCTCAGGATAAGGTACTACTTTAGTATCGAAAAGTATAAAGGTCATAAAACTATCTAATAAGAGTGAGTTTCGTTGGCAAGTTACGGTAACGAAAATCTATCTGACAAGCTCGCGTCAAACTCTGATGACGAAAAGAAAATGTCTCGAGCAGAGAGAATAGCGGAAAGAGGATAAGCGTCTTTGGCAGTAACAAGCCAGTTCTTCTTCAAAACCAACGAGTTACAGTTAAGCACTTTGGTATGATCTTGCAGTCATTTTGCGTATAAAGTTATAACAGAAGTTTTACTTCCCAACGTTTCATTAAGATTGTTCATTGCCTGACATCCTTGGTCTTCAACGTACATACACAACCATAACCTCAGCGCCTCCGACGTCATCTTGAGAAAAGAATATATGAAAAAAAGTTCATCGATAAATAATACATAGTAAACTATTTATAGAGATCTCATAAAATAAAAATAAAAATAAATGACTGCTATAATACATAATACATATTTAGAAGTAGATGGAGAAGAAGGCAAATAAAAAGTTGGCAAAAGTGAGCTTTCCTGACCGTTAGTAAAACCGGTTTTTGAGCACCAGCCCTGTAATCATTGGAAAGGTTAAATTTCAGATGACTCGTGCAGTTATTAAGAGAGGATGTCAGCATCCATCGAACAAATTTGAAATATTGTGGCAAGTCGCCCTAAGTTCGTTTTCACTCCTGCTTTTATATTTTGTAGCCCAGTATGTTCTTATAATTGTGGTTTAGTTTTTTTATGAAAATATATTTTAGTTTTCGAGAAATGACTTTTTCGGTTCGACCGCTCAAAAATGAAAATTTTCACCGTGAATATAACCCAAGTTGTGTGACCTCATGTAACGATTCCACTTGACCTCTGGCATTTCTGTGAACATAATACTTTGTTTTATCATCTAAACTTAATCCCCTGTCATTATTGAAGCTGGCAAAGAAATATTATTTTTTGGTGAATATTTTTGTCCGACATACTTTTCCTATGTCGAAAAGTAGCATCAAAACAAAGACAGTTTTAACAATGACTGATTTGGCAGAATCTACTGAGCTTCAAGCTTTTAAAAGACAAAAGGATGGTTATAAAATTAGTGTAAAAATTTGCTTGTGTGTTTGTGTTGTTCTATCTTGAGACGAACTCAAAGTCCGGCAAAATTTATTTGATAGCCACTATGAAATATACATGGTGCGCCTACTTGTCGCCATCGTTAACTAGCATAAATCGCTACAATTTGCGAAAAAATCTACCATAACACTCTTACCTCGTTTATTTATGATTTTATTAGCTGTTTCGATGATCACCTTAATTATGCTCTACCACATTCTAGCCAGATTTGAGTTCCAGTCTATATATCTTCTATCTCTTATTATATCAGTTGCATGACAAGCGTGACACAAATTCAAAGACGAGTCGGTCAACCTCCGAAATACCAAGAGATGGTTATTTTTTCCTCTTTGCATGACATCTAGAAAAACCTTTGAGGAATAACTGCATTCAGAAAACTAAAATGTCCAGATCCATCAATGATTAGAACATATTGGGATACAAAATATAAAAGTAGGAGTGAAAGCAAATTTTGGGTGACTTGCTGCCGTTTGTTTGATGCATGCTGACATTAGCTCTTAAATTTTTTTCCTCCTAATTTCCATTCGAGATTTTGCCCCAGTAATTAACAATTGTAATTAAATTCAGACACCCAAATGAAATGAAGTGAGGGGGGAGGAGGGGCGGGGTATCTTAAAATGTCACTATTACACCATATTTATGAGAGGAGTTCGACATGGCAATCGGGCGAGTACTCTCTCTTTGACACAATGTGACCCCCCCCTCCCCCCCTCTTCTCCCTCTCAAAAAAATCCAGGTCACGCCCCTGAGGAAGAAAAGGAAATTGCTGAGTTATCCAAGAAGGAGTCGACTAGATCAGTTCAACGCTTATCTCAGCAAAACAAAAACAGAATGGTTATGAGATACCGTTATATCGACTTTAATAAAAAAAGAATGAATGAATGGCAACGAAACCATTCCATGAGGTCTGCGGTTTAGGAAATACCTTGTTATTTCCCTGATTTAAAAAACATACAAACAAACAAACAAAAACAGTAACAGAGGTATTCCAAAATTTCTTAAATCAATTCTACCTTGGGAGTTATTCCATGTGATGTTGTGAGTTTTCTTGCTGTATAGAATTGCCGGCACAGGGTGAAATTTCTCCCAGTCACAGTAAGGTCCCCCAATCATAAACCACCCAGCATCATTAGGGCATCCTGCGTACTTTGCTGAGATTTCAAAGTTTCGTGCACCGTAATGGCCATTGATGCGAAAGGGAAATATGTTTGCTGCACTCTTAAGATCTGTCCATGGTGATTGAAGTAGATTATTTTGTGTAAACCAGTCCACGTTAGTTGTTCCTCTGGCATTGAACTTCATAGACATAACTTCTGCTCCATTCGTGTAAAGCACTACACGAACCTAAAGTCATACAAGAAAATGATCTGTTGTTTACATGTGAGATACATGAGTATGGGGTAAGATGAGAATCGTTACAACCTGGGATTTAAAGAATTGTTAGTCAGTTTTTTGTCTTTTTACAAACTTGTTTTGAAGGATTCCGACAGTTTATCAATCAATATCAATTAATCAATCAATACTACATAACATGAGTAATTTTTTAACGTAATTTTTGATTAAGCACTTTTGTTTCTGCTCAGAATTTTCTTTGGATATTTCATATCAATGTGGTTTGCATGTTTTGTTGTGGTTTGACCTTGCGACCGGTCGTTGTTTCTCTTGAGAATCAAAGACATGGAGTGCGAGAATTTCACAATTTTAAAACATAACTCCTTTTCTCCTTCTGAGAACTATTCTCCTACAAGGATAAAACATGAGTACTTTCCTTATACCTATTCCCAAGACGATACACTCTTAGGGTTTGGGAAGTAAGGTAAACAAAAGAACGCAACAAATAAAGATCTCATTGCATGGCCAGTGATATCACTCAAATAAAAAACAAATTGAAACAAATTGTTTTGGTTTATATTCTTTTATATTCTTTATATTCTTTTATATTCTTTATATTCTTTATATTCTATTATTTTCTATTACTAAATTATTCTCAAAAGAGGAAAGAGCAGTTCAGAAAAGTGCCTGCTTGGTTTGTCTTTAGGAACATGAGGAACATCATTTGGAAAAGCGTTTCGTGACAGCCAATTTGAAAACAAGTTTCCATAAGGTAGAAAGCTCGATCAGGAAATATGGAAATACATTAACACTACATAAGAAATTTGTAAAACAAGGTGCACTTAACCTAACCCTCTGTGATGTAGATATTTTCCGGACTTACCACTTGAGGGTTAAAAGTTTGCCAACTTTGAACGATACGGTTTTTGTAGTTTCCCTGGTAGGTTGAAGTGGTATCTAAAGCAGCGATAACATTCTCTGATAATGTGTCTGATGAACTCCATAACGCGTCAGCAGTCGGAGAGGAAGAATTTCCTCCAATGTATTTGAACATCATCGTCCAACCTTAAAAAAAAAAAAATGTAAAAAAATATTCAGGTATGTGAAAAATGCTTGTTCCTTTGGAAAACCCTAGAAATAGTTTTTCTAATTGACTTAATGGACATGATCTAAGACCTTCCTAGTCAAGTGAGTTAGTCAGAGAAATACTGATGACCCTCACTCGAGAGTCTCAGTGTTTTGATGGCTTTTACGGCTAACAGTTGAGCTTTGGCCTGTTCACAGTTAACGGCTAATATCTTTCCATTGTGGTCACCAGAAAACACTTTGAGGTTGATTTTTTTTACGACTAACGGTTTAAATTTGTCGATTTTATACGCCTAAAGGCTGAATTTTTGGTCGTTTTACGCCTAACGGTTAACCACATTGAGATCCTCTTATTTAGTTTGACGTACCACCTCCATCACTTTTCTGGTCGCAGTACACTGGGAATGAGTCTGATCCATGATTGGAAATTTCGTAGATTCCTGTTTCCTTTGGGGCTTGAGAACAGTTCTGAGGCAGAATGACTGAAAAAATTAAAAGTGGAAAAGATGCTTATACGAATCCTTACACACGATGCAGTGATCTGTAGGTCTCTCTGCTGTACTGGTCTGATCCCTATACTCTCATTTCACAAAACTTCAAATTCGAATACTTTTTGTGTAAAGCTTTTAATTATGATTTCAATAGGTTGGCACGAATGACTCCCTCACTGCAAGTCGTAACAATAACTTTTGTTCTCCAAACCGTAAGGGGACGATTTTTAAAAAACAAAACATGCTAAATTGTGCTAGAGGTTAGCGATTCCCCAAGCCGGCCGCGAAACGGATTGGCTACCGAAAACCTAAAGTAATTATTGATATAAACAAATACTTGCTAAGTAGCGAGAAGGAGGTTTTCCGTTATACACAACTAACATATTTAAACATGCAGTCAATGACTTAAGAGAATTTCGGAAATTTTCTCAAACAGAAAATTAAAAATACCAAGAAGCATAAAAAGGCAGGAATATTTGCATTACTTGACTGAATAAGCTGAAAATACCTTGGTCACAATTCTCTCCCCCGAATCCTTGTGGACAGACACACCAGTATCCTTTTGAAGTAAACCCAGATTGACAAGTAGAATTTTTCTGACATGGGCTGCTTCTACAAGGATTCTGTGATGAAAAAAAAAAGGAAACAGTGCTTTTCCCTCTTTGTATGCTAAGACCACGTGTGCTTCTTGAGGGTTTACTATCATCATTATTATTATTATCATCAGTGTAATTTTGAAAAGAGGTCATCAGAATCATTCCTTCGAAAAAGCACTAAACCTCACGACGATTTCACCTGGTCTCCAACGTTCGGGAAATTAACTTCGCCATGAACGAGGTCTGTTGTATGCCGCACCGCGTCCTGCTGATTTAAAATTGCCTAATTAAAGAGTTCAGGTAATCATGCCATAACATAGCTACCTTTTCTTTCTGTTTACATTTCTGTGGTCAACCAGTCAGTCGTGTCACGTGAGGTTTCAACGATAGAAAACGTTCGGTTGTGTTTAGGTTGTAAGGCTTACCTCAATTCCTCGGTAGCTGTAGCCATTTCTGGTAATGAAATTCACGCTGGTGACTTGTAAATGAGTGCTGTTATTCAGGTCGCATAAAGGAATCTCAGTTAGTACTGGCCCGTAGTTGTAAGACACGCAGTCGGGGTCTTCATAACAAATCAGTTCACAGCCTACTTCACTTTCAGCTGGCACAGATTTGATTATGTGATGAAGTAAATACTTGTCTTTGATGACTGGTTTGAATAGAATAGTTCTGCACTCATCGGAATTTGCTGTCACAGCTAAAAAGAAGAACAACCCATTATTAAACGTAACTGATCAATATAATCGATATGTGTCTATAAAATTTATTTTATCCCTCGAGGCTCCTAGTAATTGCCTTATATCCCCCTAAAATAGTGCGAGTTCTTTACATCTATGGCAACTAAGTACGAACATTTGGAAAACTTATTTAAAGTTAGAATTTAAACAAAATCATATCGGTGTGAAAGCGATCAAAGTTGACTGTAGATATATGAAAATCATATAAGTGGTTTTTTCAGTTTTCAACATAAAATATACATGGTTATGTTCTGAAGAACTAAAAGATTGAAACAACGATATCAAATAAATATTTTGAGAAAGAGCTGCTGTAGGAGGAAGAGTCTCACTGAACGGACATCAGAGATTAACAAATCATCACGTGTCAGTCGTCGATCGCTGGAATATCTTTATCATAAATGATTGGCACTTTTTAAATATTAAAAGCACGCCTAAAATTTTCATAATATCTCAAAAACCGAAATCTTTTTCTTATTTTTTGTCAAAAGCCGTTGACGAAAATGTTGACTGAAGCATATTCTCATTTGAAATTACTATCCAAGAAATCAAATTCAGTGATAGCATATTTCTCTTGTCGGGGCTCTTTCCCCGATCAGTAGATAAGGAATTTCATCTGTCTGTTACTTCGGTTAGGGCTAACCAAAGGAGGAAAAATTTGTCATCTGTACGCACATACTTTGAGCAATGCCTCATATACTTATCTGGCCATTTCGTTACTGAACGATTTGGTTAACATTTAACATTTTTACTGCCAGATAAGTTTTTGGCTGATTGTATTTTTTCGTATCATGAGGCAACTATATGCCAAGGATTTATGTAAAAGGAATTGTTACCGTTATTCGACTTACCTCCATGAACTGCTAACGTTAGCACAAAAACAGCGAACAGGTTCAGAGTCGCCATAATCTTTGACACTTTCTCACTCAAAAAGAAGTTTCAAAGAATGACGAAGGCATAACCTGAAATAATAAAAAGAGACTTAAACCATAACTTCCCCGAATATTCCGCGTTCGTCTTGTAGAAGTTAATAATTCATGATCCGAAGAATGCTTTGTTAACGATAAACACGATATACGCAAGCACAATCCCTTTAAAACAAAAGCAGAAAACTTTCAAACCTATATTAAGTTTAACGAGAGGCAAAAGCTTGAAAATTCAAATCCAAAAATGTTAATTTTTTTTTTCAGATTAATACATTGCAATCCGTCTCTATATATAAAAGTTCAATATTTAAAAAGTTCGAAATTATGCTAATTTTTGGGAGTGTTAATGAAGGAACTTAATTGAGCTTAAAAATTAAGAATGATTCATTAGCGCAACAACACCAATTCAGTAAAACATCTCAGAAGAAAAACATGTCATTTTCAGAACTACAACTCATGAACTCTTCCAGTTCCTTTAGGTTATGCCTGTAAGCCTCTCAAAAATTATGGAAATTCCAAGTCTGTTCGTTACTTTTGTGCCAACGTTTGCAGTTAACTGAGAGGAAGGTCGCTGCCACCTCAACCCACCAGGGAAATTTTTAAAAGCCGGCAAAATTTTAACCCTCAAGAGATAAGTCTGGAAAACATTTACATCACAAAGAGTTAAGCTAAATGCACCATAGTTTACAAACTCCTAATCTAATGTTAATACGTTTCCTTAGAAATGGCCTGGAAATAAAGACCAGTTGAATTTTTTTTTAGAAGCTACCAATGTACTCGGGTGAGGCTTCCACCTTATGGAAACTTTTCGTCAAATTGTCTGTGACGAAATACTTTACCAAGTCATGTTCCTAACACTTTTTTCATCATGTTCCTAAAGTTTACAAAGTTCGCATTAATAATACTAAAGAATTGGTTAGCTTGCTTAGCGTGCATATATGGAGTTATGGATGCACTTTAGAAGTTGGAGAGCACAAGAAAAGCGTAAGAGTTGCTCTCTTCTTAATGAACCATTTCTCTACTTCTCCGATTTTACGACTTTTTTCTTAACCCATAAGTATATGTTTGATATAAAGATAACTTGTAGCTTTCTTGTATGACTTTACGTTCGTGTAGTGCTTAATACGAATGGAGCAGAAGTTATGTCTATGAAGTTCAATACCAGAGGGACAACTAACCCAGACTGGTTTTCACAAAACAATCTAACTCAATCACCATGGACTGACCTTAAGAGTGCGACAATTTTAAAACCCTTTTGTATCAATACGGGGCACGCAACTTTGAAATTTCTTTTCGCTACGCAGGATGCCCTAAAGATGTTGGGTGGTTTTTGATTGGGGGACCTTAACTTACTGTGCCGGGAATTTTGTTCAGCAAGAAACTCAAAAAATCTCATGGAATGATAATCAACGTTGGGATTGAATCGATTTGATAAATCTTGGAATACCCTAACTATTTTGTTTGCTTATGCTTTTTTATTTTTTGTCGAGGTGTCCTGAAAAACCCCGCCTAATGGTTTCTTAGGTATTATTTCAATTTCCTAATTAATGGCCATGAGATAAATCTACCTGAATCAATTTTTCCCTCTGGGGTTTGGGAATATCATTGATGAATCATTGAATATCATTGGATGTCATTGGATGTCATTGAATGATCCAATAAACGCTGTCCGGAGATAATTCGACAAATTCCTTTTTTTTCAGTGAAAAAAGTATTTTTAAAACTTGTGACATTTGAATTAAAAACTTTTTACTCACGTTCTTCTCGGGTTTAAGTGATCGTAACTGTTAACAAAATTCAGATTGAAATGGGAGAAAGTCGTAGAACGATAGGCGTCCACTCAAACATAACCTCATAAATGTTGAGAAGGCTTGAGCTAACTAAATCCGATTTTTGGTTTAAATATTTTCTACACTAATTATCTTTAAAAATGGATAGCTATATAATTACGATACTCGTTTACTTGTTGAGGGATTATTTTCAACTTATTTGTTTCAAGCTGATGTTGGAGTTGCAGAGGTGATGATTGCGTATATACTTTTAAGACCATTGTTACCAATCAATTAACAAGCAAGGCAAAGAAACGTAATTTGATGAAAGAAAAAAGCCGATCAAAGCCTGCCCAATTGACTGTCATAGAAAACCTCCAAACTGTAACCGTACCAGCCTTTCAATTTTTGAACCTCTAAGAGTGAATAGCCTTTAATTTCTCCTCATAGCACAATCTCAGCCATTATTATTATTCTTAGCAAGAATAAAGCAAATGAATGTATTCAAAGAAGCTCTCAACAAATTCTCATTTTCAGTGCCATAGTAAATTTACAGAGAGCAGTATATAGAATATGACTACCGAATGTTAGGGTGTGAGGATGTAAAGAATTGACGGACTGACCGCTGACCGGCAGAAAAGCCCTGCGCGTCGCAACTGCTTCTATGCTTAGTAAATGCAAAGTACATAAAACCTGAATGATTATAATTAGCCCCTCAAATATTCCTTAGTCATTTTTTCGAAGAAGTGTGGCAAACTTACAAAACCCAACATGTACAGGGCTGGAGCCGAAACATTTGCCAAGTTTAATCTGCCGCCGTAAGTCCGACTGACTGAATGAGTGACTGAGTCATAGAATAAAACACAAATCCTTGAGATTTCAGCAAAGTTCACCAGAAGCACTTTTCCTAAATTGGACTAGTAAAACTTAAAACTGCATAGGGGCTCTCTTTTCCACTCAAACAAGTCTGTTGGCTTTGGTGTCTCCAGGTAAGCAACTTGTCAAAGGAGTCTTCAGCGGACGAACACGGCTAGTACGTCAGCTATTCCAACGTTCCCTAAAAGACACGATTAATTAGAATATCACATTAATCATAGCTAATACCGTTCTTAAATCCCCTCAAACTTAAGCTAAATATGGGAAATCTGGAATCTGAAGAACGACCAAAATGATTTGAAAGACTCAAGGAATGTGCCACAATTGAATTGATCCTCAAAATAATAACGTAAAATATATGAGTGTTTCACCACATTGAAGGTTCTCCCCCGATATGTTCGCCCACACCACGAAGAGTTCGCCCCGTCAATTATGACAAGTTCACCTCCAACTTTAAGAGCTCACCCTCAAATATTTAACTATCCTCCTTACGGTGATAACTTGTCTCTTTTTGGATAAATTCATGATAAAATTCAATTAAATTACAAGTTATTTGGCTCTGACTCAAACTCTTGGCTGAGCAAGCATGTTAAGTCCCCACTCAACGCTGGTCTCAATAATGCTGTAAAGGAATGTACGTTTTCCCAAACTTCGTAGACTCACCGTAATCCATCCAGGTCACAGCTCTGTCCAGTGTACTAAACAGAATGCTTACAGTGTCACGCTGTTCCCACATGCAACCAGGGTAGTTCGCGATCACCAACCACCCCGAATCATATCCGCAGCCGCCACGGGACAGTGCTATATCAAAGAACCGAAAATAAAGAGCAACAATGGCAAATTGAGTTATGTTTGTTGCATCCTTAAGGTCGTTCCATGGCGACGAAATAAGTCGCTCCTGTGAAAACCAGTTCAAGTTGTTCGATCCAGATGCATTAAACTTAAGGGAGATGGCTTCCGTTCCATTCTGGTACAGCACCACACGAGCCTGTCGGAAATCAATGGAAAAATGAAGCCTTAATTATTCAGTTAAATAAAAGAAAAATAAACAGATGCTTGTATGAATAAATTTAACAACTGTATCCTATAGATTTCGCCCAGAAAGTTATACAATTTCACTTCTTTTTACCGTGTACCTGATTTACTCCTTTTTTAATTGCTCATAAAAAGTCAATTCAACAAATTTGATAGTTTTGAAAACAGGTCGTCTTTTCGAATAGGTAAAGAAAAAAATTATAAAGAAATAAGAATTCAAATCAAATTGTGATGTTGATATCGAAAAATTTCAGTGTTTAATGAAAGGGATAAGAGAAAATTTAATATCTATTTATAGATCACATAGACCAGAAAATTTAGTCTTCATTCTTGATTTTAACCATAATTGATTGAAACTCAGTTGCTCATTATTCACTGCACCTGAGTGGGCTAGATGCAATAAGTAGAGGAACGCTTTAAGACTGTTAACTTGTCTACAGTTGACTTTCGTACCTCCTTAGGGTTGAATTTTTGCCAGTTCATAACAACCCTGTTCTTAACATGGCCTGCGAAAGTATTAGTAGTGTCCAAGGCTGCACTGATACTCTCCGACTGTGTGGCTTTTGAATTCCAAAGGTCGCCCACTACAGGCAGAGAGATACCCCTAACAACTTTGAAAATCATTGTCCAACCTGATTATAGAAGAAAAATGAGATTGTCAATCTTTCATTTTCTCATTATTTTGGTACGTGCTTATGTTCAAAGATAATATCTTTTCACTGTTGTTGCGCGCCTTTAACAACTATGGAGTATTGGTTATACGGTAAAAAAATAACTTTTTTTCTTGCTCTAAAGTTTTTGCAACCTGTCATTCTCGTTAGTGCAAGATTATGCAGAACTTCTCAGCTGGCGTTGTAGAAATATGTGTTATCTGTCAATGTCAGTTGTTCCGTCAGCCCACACACGCCTACTGAGAGGACATTTAAGAACGTTTACCTAGGCCTGAAAGGGTTTTTAAGAAAAGAGTGAAAGTCGCTCCGAATTGATCAAAAATCGCTCTCTTGATCAAAAAACCGGTACTTCCCGTTTGCACGTCGTGTTCGAGCTTGTTTACCCCAACAGTCCAAAGAAGATATAAGACAAATGTGGTCATGTCATGTTCATGAACATGCTGGATTTTAATTTACAAAATCGATGAACATAGTTAAGAAATAACAGTAGTACCTCCTCCATCGCTTGTCTGGTCGCAATAAACACGAAACAGCTCCGGTCCATGATTCCAAATATGAACAATTCCATTCGATGGGAGAGCGTCAGAACAATCATTGATGACTGAGAAGAAATGAAAATTATTATTGCAGGAAAATGGCCTTTAATGGAAAATGTACTGGTCTGGAAAAGAACGTTTTCTGCAATCATGTTTTACCTTTTTCGCAGTTGTCTCCCGTATATCCAGATTTGCACTCACAGACGTACTTCTTTTCAGTGAATCCATTTAAGCACTTTCCATTGTTCTTGCAGGGTTTATCAGAGCAATAGTTCTACGGTGAGCATAAATAATGAAGTGAGCTCTCGCGAGAATGGCGTGTACAAAATTAAAGTTAGGGAGGGTAGAGTAATTTACGATTATTGCAGGAAACGTTTTGTGTCTGAAAACACGGACAAGATAAAATAGAGGTAGCTACTACACATCAGCTTACTGGCCCCAAACGTAAGACCCCATCAAATTTCCTCCAGCTTGGAAAGATTGGTTGTTTTATTTCTCCTTATGAATGGGAAATTGGTCTAATTATCCTTCAGCATCTCATCACGTAATCCCTAATAGTTCGCCTGTACCCCCCCTATACTCCTGAGCGTAGAAGGAATCACTGTGGGAGTATTTTTGTCACCTAATTCTCCAACTTAAGGTTCCGTTGGGATTACAGCTCCTGTTTAACTGATAAGGCCACCACGTATGCAATAATACCTTACAAACATGACGAAACACTTGCAGGTTTCCACAGAGGCAATAAATAAAAACAACAACAACAAAACGCAGGAAAAATCCAAATAAAGACGTATGCGATTCAAATCATGATAACTCGCATGTAGCATCATCAAGGCTCAGTCAGCATTTCATCAGGTTTCTCTGGTACAGTGTAATTTGCCTATACCCACCTATACTCCTGAGCGTGGAGAGAATTACTACGAGAGTACATTTTTGCATATGAGACTCGAAGTTAGGACTCTCCCTCGGGGGTCAATCGCTGGTAAAACACTAGGAAGGCCACTACATTTCAAAAGAATATCTCAAAAATGATACAAAATTTTTCGAGATTTCGCAATAAACTAGGAACAAAAACGGTTATCACGAAAGCAACCGAAAATATAAAAACAGAAACAATAATTACAACAACAACAATTACAAAGCACAGGAAAAATACCAATAAAGGGATGAGATGACTATGATAACTCGCATGTAATATCATCAAGGCTGATTCTGCTCACCTGTGTGGCTCTGTAAATATAACTCTCTCTTAGCTTAAGATCTGCTGGATGCTGAACGTGATCAGAATCACTCAGCTCACAAACCACCTTGCCATTTAATGGTGGACTAATGTTGACAGAGACACATTGGCTTTCCATTGTGCAGAGGTTTTTACAGGAGCTGGCAGTTGTTGTCGTCAGGTTTTTTATCACGTGGCCATAGAAAGAGTAACCTTCTCTTGGTTTTGTAAACGTTATTGATCGACAAAGATCTGAGAAAAAATGTTATTACTATCTTTTACAATATTTACATACAAGTATGTAGGCTTTTTCCTCTTTTCCGAGTGCTTTTAATTAGTGATGGTGATACTGGATATATCTTATTAAATTTATTTATGTTATGAAAACACGTAAAAAGTTAAGAGAGTTCTCAGCGTTACGATTTGAGATTTTCCAGTGTTCTTGATTGAATGGTTTCAATTCGTTATTCATTTCAACGTTTTCTCCGCATTTGCAAAAGGAAATCAAATCAATGAGGCAAGAGTTTGGTGCTGAATCAATTCATCTACCTTCTTTTGGATGTTTGTTTATAGCAGGTGGTCTGGATATTAGGGTCAGTCTTTATTCTTTAAGTTCGGTTTGATTTTGCTCACCGTGGATGGCATTTATGAAGCAGTGGATGGAGGCTCCACGGAATATTAACCATATCAAAAAATTGCATACGAAAGTTAACAAGCCTGGCATAGGTAGAGACATAAACACGATTTGAATCTTCGCTTCAACACCTTTGCAGCTGAAAAATGAAGAATCATTTGGGCTTTATCTTTCTTTTTATACAATACCAGTGTTTGCCGAAGTCAACTGAACGGATTAAAGCTTTTACATAAGAATCCATGCCAATCACAGTTTGGGGGTAAAAAGAACTTTTTAAACTGACTCACATCCAAACAAAGACGCAATTTTTTGTCTCTTGATTTCCGACCACTAAATGTAATTAAGTGCAATCAGTATGGTGCAGTGTAATGAATCATGGCACAGTTTCAAACAGAGTATATAACGGTTTTACAACATGGGAGCATCTCTATGTAGCGCAAATAAATGATACCCTACATTGACAGCAGTCTACAAGTGTTATCATAAACATGGTCCGAACAGCCTTGAATGGTGGACTGAACGGAGCAAGTCATGGAAAATACGGCCTCAGTAATTAACGGCTTCATCATCTCAATTCATAACAGCTGTTAGTGTATTTAAAAACGGGACAAATTATAGTAATCTTTATTAGGATATCTTCTTCATACGAATATGGTTTTCAAACAGAATCTCATGAGATAAAATGAAAAAAAACAAACATAAACAAATAACAAAAAAGGAACAAACAAATTAGTAAAAGCCAAAGGTAGACTTAGAAATTCTAAAGAGCACACACAGGAGTGGTTCGTTGTCTCATCGATGGTGGCAGGTGTTTTGTTTCAGACAAACTAGAATAGGCTCGTTCGAATTTATAACTTGGTTTTAATACCCGAAGGTGATGGAAATCTTTAAGGGTGAAAATCCTTCTGAAGATTTCACTCACGAAAATAACATGTATTTGTACTCAAAATTATCCTGAAAAATTTCCCTTTTTAAACTTTTACGAGTAGATGATCTTCATGTCCGGGACGAACTGTGAAATGTTTCTCATAAATACCTTCTTTAGGGTACAAATGTCCGTCTCCAATTCTACTTATCTCATATTGTTTACAAGGCTTTTCTGAGATGCTGAGCTTTATTTCAGAAAAGAGAAATACTTTCTATTCTGGTTATATATGTTGCTTTATTTGTGAACGCTGAAATATTGCCTCCAAATAAAAATTCGTCGGGCTTTTGATAAGCAGAGAAGAGGAATACAACGAGGGCCCACGGGTTTGTATTTGGATATTGTTGAGATATCGTTTCCCTAAATTTTTGCGAATTTTTAGCGTACAATTTATCATCCTCTTCCACTCTTCGACGGTTTATGAAGTACAGAGAGTGAGAAAAAATAAAAGTTGATGGCTTTAGATGCAGGCCTGTTGAAAAAAAAGGTTATTAAACTGCATTGCCTGGTCAGTTCCAACTGAAAGAATTCAAAACCCACCATCCGTTGCATTGGAGCAAGCATTGATCACACGTATATATTAAAACCCTGCCCTTATTGCCTTTCAGTCGAGCTCCATATGCCAGTACTAAAATAATCGAATTCCCCCACAGTCTATACTACAATTACTAACCTTGTGACCAGACAGTCTTGGGTATCATAGCGCATAACTCAAGTAACAGGAAACACATCAAAGCGAAAGACATGCCGCAAAGTCATACAAACATGTGCTCTCGAGTTGTATAAAGTGAATGCCCCCCAGTTATACTTAGCTTTATATTAGCTTCAATTAACCTCCTGTTTACTTTTTTAACCAATAGCTTTCGTCAGTTTTTTCTATTAATCTTTTATGGTACTTTTTACAAATAATAATTTAATGTGAGGTATTCATTGAATATAGAGAATATCGAAACAAATTTTTACAGAATACTTAGACGTTTAATCTCAGTTAACAGTTTTACTTAAAGGGTGCTCAAGGGAAGCTTGTTTATTTTAAGGTTACTACAACTGCTATCATAGACATGTTCACCATTATCGAACAATGGAATAAATGAAAAGTTGTTTGATGTAAATGTTTTGTTCTGTTAGGGCCCTCTAAACAACAATTGTAAAACTGTATGAATAACCAAATATGCAGAATTTCACTTCCAATACTTTATTCAGATTTCATTTCTCTGCTTTGTTGATCCATTGACTGCATGTCATCTTCGGTTTTCATCGTACAAACACAATCATCGCCTCAGCGCCTCCGACGTCAGCTTGAAAAACGAATATAAAATATATTCACTTCCAAGTAATATTAAATGATTTATTGAGATATCATCTAATATATGACTATTATAATACCTACTCCATTTTTTGGGAAAGATGATGAAGAAGACGAATAAAAAGATAAATAAAACAGTCAATATTTTACAAAAGAATCAGTTTTGAGCCCTGGCCTTGGCATCATCTGAGAGATTATATTTTAGTTGAATTGATAACTATTTCACGGCCCCTTCTCAGTTTCTAACCGGGCTTTTGTCTCAGTATTTAACAGTTCCATCTAAATGTCCAAACACAGAAGGAAAACCAGAGTGAAAAGGGGATCTTAAAATGTTACTATTAAACAGTTTTTTCTGAAGAAGAAGATAAAATTATCTATTAATCCGAGAAAGCGTCGACTGGATCATTTCATGAATTATTTCCCAAAAGCAAAAAGAGAATAGTTGTTCCATGCCGTTTTAATTAATTACTCCAATCAACGAATGGCAGGGAATCTATTTGATAAGGTCTGTTTAGGTAGTCGCTCGTACTAAAAAACAAAAAAAAGCAAGAACAGAAGAAGTCTAAGATTTCCTGAAGCATTTTCTACCTCGGTTATTATTCCATGTGATTTTGTGAGTTTTCTTGCTGTACAGTATTGCCGGTGCAGGGTAAAATCTCTCCCAGTTACAGTGAGGTCCCCCGATAACAAACCAGCCAGCATCGTTGCGACATCCTGCGTAGCGAGCTGAAATTTCAAAGTTGCGTGCCCCGTAATAGCCATTGATACGAAAGGGTTTTAAAGTTGTTGCGCTCTTCAGATCAGTCCATGGTGATTGAATCAGATTATTTTGTGTAAACCAGTTCATGTTACTTGTCCCTCTGGCATTGAATTTCAGAGCTATAACTTCTGCTCCATTCGTGTAAAGCACCACACGAACCTAAAGTCACTCAAAAAATGATCTGTTATCAACATGTTAAATGGATTTACAGAAGAGTCATACAATCGGAGAGTCAAAGAAATTGTTCATCGAATTTTCATTGTCTTTCTACAAACTAATTTTGAAATATACTGATAATCAATTAACTCTTTGTATCTGTCACATGACTACGAAGGCTCAAAACTCCAATTTTATGAATTATTCTCCCATAAGGAAAAAACATGAGAACCTCATTCATAATTTTTTCCAAGACATGACGCTCTAAGGATTAGGAAGTAAGGTGGCAAAAGATAGTAACTAATTGCGACTTCATTGCATGTTCAGTAATTTCGCTCTCTGATCTACATTGTTGCGTTTTATATTCACCTTTAGTCTTCGAAGGTTGCTGCAAAAAGGAAAAAGGTGTTCAGCTTGTTTCCCTGGATTCCCTCTTAAAAGAGCTGCTCCAATTAATTGAGTAAAATTATACTAAAATCCATCTGGAAGAATGTTTCTCGACAGACTATATGAAACCAATTTACCATGAGGTTGCAGAGTCAGCCCAATACAATTTTTGTTTAATTTTCTTAAAAAGCTTAACTAATATGTTTTTCCAGGCAAATTCTGGGAGGACGTATTGAAATTTTATGACAACTTTGGAAGCTAAGTTGCATTTATCCTAACCCTCTGTGATGTAAGTATTTTCCGCACTCACCTCTTGAGGATTAAGCGTTTGCCAACTTTTAACGAGACGGTTTTTATAGTTTCTTTGGAAGGTTGTAGTGGTATCTAAGGCAGCGATAGTATTTTCTGATGATGTAGCGGATGACTGCCAGAGCGCTTTACCAGTCGGTGAGGAAGATAGTCCTCCAACATATTTGAATATCATCGTCCAACCTAAAAGAAAAAAAAAAGTTCCGAAAAATTGTCAGGTTTGTGAAAATTGCATATTTTGTGTGCAAACTCTAGAATGGGCTTTTCCGCTAAAAAAGGCCTTCTGGAATATTTTTAGTCACCCAAATTTTGTCCAAAGTGATTTGGATACGTTTAGGAACGGTTTTTAGTTATTGGATGAGCAGAATCAATCATTTAAAAGAATCCATATCATCACGCTATGTAGAGAGAACGATAGACAAGTTGATCATACAAGGACATTTACACTTTGTACCATAATTACACCCGAAGGCTTTCTAACTTATTCGGAAACTACCGATAAGCTTTATTGAGTCTGACGTACCTCCTCCGTCACTAGTCTGGTCGCAGTACACTGGGAATGGTTCTGACCCGTAACCAGAAATTTTGTAGACTCCTGTTGTATTTGGGGCTTGGGAACAGTTCTGAGGCAGAACGGCTAGAAAAATAAACAGCACATTAAACACCTTTAAGAATCCCTGCACATAATGCAGTGATCTACAGGCTTTCCTGCTTATTGGCCAGGGTCAATTTTAATTAGGAGTCTGATCACTGTTGATACGTATTCTCATTCTGTAACATAGAAATTTAAGAAGTGGTTTTTTTGGCAGTCAAGATGGAAATGTATCACCATCCGCTTTGAATATTGTTTGTGTAAAGCTGTGGAATATGCCACGCTGGGATGGGATAAGTTACTTCCTCGCTACTCGGCATAACACGGAAACTCAGTCTTGACGAGCACTTTTGGTATTCACTTTGACTTCTTTGAATGACAATGGGGCGATGTTTGAAAGAGCAAAAAAATGTTTAATTGCCTAGATATTGATGATTGCCTGAGCCGCGAAACAGATAGGTCAAGGAAAACTTTACATGAAAAGTGATATAAATGATAAGAAAGCCGGAGTTAAGCTTCCTCCTTGTGCTCACGCAATTAACATATTTTAACATACAGTCAATGTTTTGAAAGAAAACAATCAAGAATAATTACGAATAGTTCGATACTTGGAATACCTTGTTCGCAATTCTCTCCATTGAATCCTTGTGGACAGATACAACGGTATCTTTTTGAAGTAAACCCAGCTTGACAAGTAGAATTATTCTGACATGGGCTGCTTTCACAAGGATTCTGTGATGACAAAAATCAATATATTTTTTTCTCTCTATCTTAAATGTGTCTTGTTCGCTTTGCCATATTTTCTTCAACTAAATTCCGTGCAGTTCTCGATAGACCGTTGTCATTATCAACATAACAGTTATCGTTATCATTATTACTATAATCTCTCTTAGTGATGTGAACATTATTTGTATTAGGAGTAGTATTAGTAGTATTAGTAGTGACAGTAGTATTACTATCACTAATGAAAAATGAGAGGTTAAAGTCATGCCCCCATATTCAAAGAGAAAGCATCAGACCTGCAGAAGATTGCAACTACAACAACTAACTCACGTAGTGAGCGAAATCTGTCGTAGACTCAAACTTTAAAATTTTCTCACTTAAAGAGCAACTATGCCTTAATGTGACGGCTTTTCCATATCTGGAAAAATTTTTGTGGTCGATTAGTTAATAGTGTCACCTGAGGTTTAAAGAAATAAAATGTGATCGTTTTTAAGGTTTTAAGGCTTACCTTAATTCCTCGGTAGCTGTAGCCATTTCTGGACACGAAATTCACGCTGGTGACTTGTAAATGAGTGCTATTACTCAGTTCACATAAAGGAATCTCACTTAAAATTGGTCCGTAGTTGTAAGACACACAGTCAGGGTCCTCATAACAAATCAGTTCACAGCTTTCTTCACTTTTAACTGGCACAGTTTTGATTATGTGATTAAGTAAATACTTGTCTTTGGTGACTGAGTTGAATAGAATGGCTCTGCACTCATCTGAATTTGCTGTCACATTTACAAGGGAGAAAAAAAATGTAAATTTAAAATTTCATCCGTCGAGGCTCCCAGTAATTGCCATTTATCCGCCTTAACTAATATAGGATGTTTACACTCACACTCTGTTTACTTTACACTGCTTTTGATCACTTCGATGGAAATTTTAAAAAATTGATAATAGTATCAGGTCTCTTATCATAGCTATTTTTTCTCAGAGAATATAAGGAATTACTTTTGTTTGTTACTTTGGTCTTAAAGACTCTTAACCAAAATAAAACAAAATTATTGGGACCTAAATCAGTCTAGGATATGTTGTTTGTTTTGCCATATGCACGTACATACCTTAAACATGCCAAATATACCTATGTTGCCAATTCCTTACGATTTTGCTATCAGTTGGAGGTCGTTTTATTGATGATTTGACAGTTGAGTGGACTATTGCGTGTGAAAACTTAACCCAGCCGTAATCATGAAGCAACTGTATACCGAGAATTTACGAACTAGAAATTGTTACCGCTGTTCGACCTACCTCTAGTAACTGCAAACGTTAGCACACAGCCAAAAACAACGAACACACTCAGAATCGCCATAACTTTTGACAAGCTTAGGATGTTTCTTCCCGGAAAAGATGTTTAAAAGAGTTTAAAAGGCATAGCCTGAAAGAACTGGAAGATTTGTTGTGTTCCAGTTATGGAGGTGACGAGTTTTTCATCTGAGATGTTTACGTTAATTAAGATTATTAGGCGGGTGAGACCAGTATTCATTTCAATATCAATTAACACTCCTACCAATTAGTAATTTTTTTCCTAGAATCTCTCAATATTGAACACTACTGATCAAAACTGAATCGAATCGCAATTGTTAAGATGTTTGGGTATGAAAGAAGAAAAATTCCCACCTTCCTATTCTAAAGGTTAATGTTTTATATTTCAGTTTCTTACTTATCCATTCAGAAGTCGAATGGGGGAACACTCTTCAAGCGAAAATTACCTCTAATCCACTTTGACGTGGATCTAATTAAAGTTGATATATATTTGCAAATTAGCTGCCAGTATTTTAGGGAATTTTGCAGGCGTATATCGTGTTTATCACTAACAAAGTATTCTTTCCTTTAATTATTAACTTCTGCAAGATTTGTATGCAAACACAATATGTTCGGAAAAAATAATGATTTTGTCATGTGAGGAGCTAATTTTGCTTAAGGAAGGTTTTTTAATTAATCCACCAAAATTACACAAAAAAGCTAGCTGGTAGATAAAACTTTTCCTTCATCTATTTACATATTTGTTGCGAGCAGGTAATTAAACGGAAACCGAGTGTCTTCTCAGTAGAGGGGTGTTACTAGCATTAATTCTGGTGCGTTTCTATGTAGGTAAACCGATGAAAAGTGTTCTATTCAAAGCAGCTACAACAATACAATAAAGTAACAGTGGATTTTAAGTCCACTAAGGGTTATTCTTTGCGAAAAAGTGAAAAAGTTCCGAAGAGCGATTTATTTATTTATTTTAAAGAATGGCGCTGTCTCCTTTCAACTTGTTCAGCCCTTAAACAAGTTAGTTGGCTGTTGTCCCTATGAGTAAAGAACTTTTCAATGGAGGCTTCAGTGAATTAACACGGCTAGCACATCAGCCTTTCCAACAATTCCTACAAGACAAAATCAATGAGACTTACTTCTGCATTGTGAGCTAAGTGTCTACTTAAGTCTAAGTACAGATGACCGAGTAATAAAATAAACTTCGAAAGAGCGAGAAAAAGCTATTTTTTGACCAGAAAAATCAAGAAATCGATGTCACAAAAATTATTCAACGTTCGAACAAACTCAATCGATCTTAAGAAGAATCATGATGACTCGCATGTAACATCATCACGGCTGAGTATGCTCACCTGTGTGGCTCTAACATATAGATTTAACCAAGCCTAAAAGTGGAGCTCTTGTTAGTTTATTTTCCAGCCCTTCATTATACTGAATAAAAACTGTAATAAAAGTCTTTAGCACTGGCTGTGGAAGGGTTTCTTCATTGGAATGAAAGACCAGTTCGGGGGGTGGGGAGGTGGGGAAGAATTGACGAAGTCTAGACCTGGGGACGATGTTCTCACAACTACACACATGCTAGTCAGCGGTATCTTCAGACAGCTTAAGATTTTCGTCGTTGTTCTTGATTTTCTGACCAAATTTTCGAAGATAAGGAGTGTTTTCTTTTTCAGATGAAGTGCATGCTGTCAGCATCAGTTGAAATTATATCCTTCTGAGCGTGACTTATAATTTCGGTTTGGGAAAATGAGCCAAAATTGAAAGAAACGACAGTAAACCACTTTGCGTTAAGACATTACTGGTGGATTGAGGTGTATACATGCAGTAAGCACGGTAAGTCAGTAAAACAATACGCCAGAATCGTTAGAAAGGATACAATATTTTATAACAAAGACTTAATGCGTAGGTTGTGCAAAAAACTTTAATTTGACTATACTTTTATAGCCAATGCCAGTCCCTTCACACGGTAAAATGTTAGGAGGATCAGAGAAAAAATGTGCCATACATCTGCAAGATTTGATGTAATTATTTTAATTACAAGAATATTTACTGATACTAGGAGATCTAATACTATTAAAAAAATAATAAAATTTGGGTGAAAAATTAGAATTCAGAACAGGCTGGATAAACAGAACAGAAATGTGTACTAATGAAAAAGCTTAGCAAACTTTTTTTATAACACTTGCTTGTATCTATACGGCATGTAGTACAGTCTTTTGAAGTAGCCATAATCCCAGTTTCATATATTGAAAACACATGCGCATGCAGATTTCCTGTAATCCTATAGTTTAAGCCTGTGATGACTTTGAAATTTTGATGCCCCCCTCAAAAGGATAACAAATAAATTTCATGTTTTTATACATTCAGTTTGGGTTAGTGAGGTAAAATTGAGTCAAACATTCAAGACGTCAAACGAGAGGTTCAAGAAATTTTTACAACTAATTTTTAAGGTTAGCCTACCTGGAACAATCACCTTCATGTAAAAATTAGGTTTGTAGTGATGATTCCCAACAGAACAATTTGTGGTAAGAGGACAGGCTTTCCTTTCTTCATTTAAAGAAATATT